CACTCTTTTTTCGTAAAAAGACTAGAAACTGTTCAAAATGTGTATAAACTAACTCAAAAAATTTCTACAATTTACAAGATATTTTAACTGTGTCAATGTTTTAACACATTTTTTTATTTTGCCATTGAGCATTTGAATTTTTACAAACTTGTGAGATACAAAAAGCAATTACATAAGTATGTAGTTCACCAGATGAAATAAAATGAAAGTTCATACTTCAGAGGTTAAATGGCAATTATTTTTATGGTTAGTGAGTAATAATCTATTATTTGTTGAATTATTCATTCAATAATTTATGTGTGTGCAAGTTGGTCGGTCTTTGAGACAATTATTATGCAAATATTTATAACTACTTAATACGAAGTGATCCCGAAAGACTGAGTCTGTTGGCAACAGATTTGAAAGTATTTTTGTTAATAATTTGAATCACTGCATCTGGTACGGTTTTGCTTGACAAATACTTGACGTACAGTTGCGGAATTAAAATTTCGGGCAGTATTTTTCTGTCATTTTAAAAACTTCACTGTAAACTACCTTTTATTGTCATCATGACTGACATTTGACAATTAAACTTTTTTTGTTGTTAAAATTGTTAATTAAAGAATTTGTCTGTCTTAGGAAATTTATTAATTGAACTAAGTGTTGCTTTGATCTGCTGCCTACCCGTTATTATGCTACAAATCATTATTTTTTAAAGTAAATAAGTCAAAATCACATAATCATGACAAGAGTAAAAAATGAGGTTATTAATGTAAAGGTTGTTTTAGAGTTTACATTATGAAAATGACAATACTGCCCAAAATTTTAAATTCCGCAACTGTACAACTCCACAAGATTGTTCTTAATCAAAAGCGTACTCTAATGGTAAGCTTTAAAAATTAGGGTCAGGATTGCCAACATATTCAGTCAGTGTGGATCATTTTGAACATACATATTTTATTATTTTTGTGTATGTATTGTTAGTTGCCTATACTATAGAAAGTTTTTTATAAAATAAACAATTTTTCCGAGGACCATTATCTTAAAGTAAGTTTACATCAAGTCAAGTATGGTGTATTGATTTTGTAATAAGGCAATGCTGCATTTTATTATTTGCACGGTTGTATTGTTAGTTGCCTACATTCTAAGACTTTTTTTTTTAGAATTTACACAATTTTTTACAACCACTATCCTAAAATTAGTTTACATCGATGATCGTTGCTAATAAAGTTAATATTTTCGTTACTATAATACATTAACTAGAATGAAAAGTGTTTCTGTGTGAGAAAAACAAGTATTGTAATGTATTGTGTGTTGCCTGGTTTGACATTTTACAATTTGATTCTTCACGGTAATTAATTGATTATTATTATAGAAATAAATTATTCATACAGGTCGCAGAAAAAATTGTGTTCTAGTTGTGAGAAAAGTTTTCTTCATAAACAATTCACACTCTCATAAAAAATTGCTTTTCAAGGCGTTTAATTGTTGTTTTTTTAGTTAATAAAATTTAGTAAAAACTAGTAGAAAACTTTATTTCTTTCATATATTCTTGTTCAACTATTTGTCTGATGTGAGCAATCGACATTTACCATATTTAGTAAATCCCTGAAGCCTTGGGATTCCATTCCCCGATAAAAAAATCCTTAGGTATAATTGAATAAAACATTGATTATATCGCATTATTGCACATTTTTTCAATCTCATTTGTTCCAGGATGTTGTTATAGTAAACCGCTTTTGGTGCCCGGAGGTAGAGCTTTTATCTGGCCTTCGATTCAGAGGATACAAAGGTATTGAAATTCTCCTCGTGAATGAGATAATTTGCAGCGTTTGATTTATTTAGAATATGCCTGAATACGATGACGTTGATTGTGGACAGTCCGACGGTTTACACAAGTCAGGGGGTTCCCATTTCCGTCACTGGAATCGCACAGGTACATTACAGGAAACTGTAATTTTGCAAGTCTTGAATGTAGCTTTCTAGGTGAAGATCCAGGGCCAAAACGAGGAGATGTTGTTGGCCGCCTGCGAGCAATTTTTGGGTAAAACAGAAGAGGAGATCCAACACATCGCTTTAGTCACACTCGAGGGCCACCAAAGGGCCATCATGGGCTCGATGACCGTGGAGGAGATCTACAAAGACCGCAAGAAATTCAGCAAGCAGGTGTTTGAAGTGGCTTCTTCTGATTTAGTCAATATGGGAATTACGGTCGTTTCGTACACTTTGAAGGACATCAGGGACGAAGAGGTAATTGCTGAGGCACAAACCAGAGTAATTCTATGTCTAAATTTTTGAAGTCATGGAGTTACTCTCCTAGTTTTATTTATTTATTTACCATTTTTATCGTTTTCTTTAATTTGCAACAAAGGGTGCCAAGGTACGTTTCTGGAATTTTTAGTTGTGGTAGTAGTTGGTCGAAGTGGAGGATTTTCTTGTTTTTTGGCAAAATTTTCGTGGTTGTTGCCGTTGGCACTCCTACGACTCTTATTGTGTTTCTCTCTTACTCAGTGTTGCCAGATCAAAAACATAAAATTCACCAGATCGGAGTTGAAAAATTTGCCAAATTTTCACCAGATTACGATTGATTTCAGCTTAAAAACCTGCCTAAACTCTTGAAAAAAAGCAAAAATGACATTCTTTTCGGCTTGTTTTCGACAAAATTGTGCGAAATAATAGCATTTCTAGCTGAGAAATGCAAATTAATGTAATTCTAGACTTATTTTCTTGATTGTTTAGTTTGTTTTAGCAAAATCTAGCGACAAATCTGAGATTTTAGTACAAAAAAATTTTCGGTTAAATTTTGTGATTTCTCGGCTTATTTTTGCTCAAAACCAGTTAAATCGAGTGAAATATCAATCATGTTTATGATATTAAGGCGTGTTTGGACAAGATTTTGCACAATAAATGAACCTCTGGTTTTAAAACGAAGTAAGTCGGGCGAAACAAGCTAAAAAATGATATCAATTCCGATTTAATTTTGTAATTTTTTAGCCTTGTGGCTTGTTTTTGACAAAATTTTGCAAAATAATTGTGTTTCTAGTTGAAAAAGTATTTGAAAAAACTAAAGTAAGTTGTCATTTTCAACTATGTTTACTAATATCTTATAAAAACTATTTTTAACCAATTTGGTGGTTTTTGATTATTATTTCATCGAGAAAATTTGACGAAATAATTAATTTAAAGCATAAGAGTTAGGTAAAAGTATCATAATATAATCTTTTTTTTAATAACAATTTATTGATTTTTGACATGTTGTGGTAGGTAAACTCTCGCGATAAACAGAGTTTTAAGCTTAAAAATCTTCTTGAACATTCGAAAAAGGAAAAAATGATATTATTTTTGGCTTAATTCTGTGTTTTTAACCAATTTTGTGAAATAATTTCTAGCTAAAAACATGCTAAAACGCTCAAGAATAGCAAAATTGAAGTAATTTTGGACTTAATATCTTGATTTTTTAGTTCGTTTTAACGGAATCTTGCAAAAAACCTGATTGTTGCACAAAAATGTGCTTAAAAAATTCTTGACTTGTTTTTGTTTTATTTTGCTCAAAAATCAGTTAAAACGATTGAAACAAACAAGATAACATGAATGTCAATTTTTTTATTATTGTAAATCCTGTTACGACAAGATTTTGCTAAATAAAAAGTGAGTCTCTGGTTCAAAAACGAAGTAAGCTAAATATAATATCAATTTCGATTTAATTTTTATTTTTTTTTTGCCTTCTTCAATGCAATATTTCGATCTTTTTTGAGTTTTTATCTCTTAAAAGCACCCTTAAACATACGAAAAAGACAAAAAAACTCCGTTTTTGGGCTATTTTATTGAATTTGTGACTTGTTTTGAACAAAATTTTGCAAAATAATTGTGTTTCTAGTTGAAAAAGTATTTGAAAAAACTAAAGTAAGTTGTCATTTTTAACTTTGTTTAGTAATATCTTATAAAAAAACTATTTTTAACCAATTTGGTGGTTTTCGATTATTTTTTCTTCGAGAAAATTTGTCGAAATAACCAAGTTAAAACTTAAGAGTTATGTAAAAATATCATAATATAATCTTTTTTATAACAATTTATTGATTTTTGACATGCCGTGGCAAGCTCTCGCTATAAACAGAGTTTTAAGCTTAAAAATCTTCTTGAACATTCGAAAAAGGAAAAAAATGATATTATTTTTGGCCTAATTCTGTGTTTTTTAACCAATTTTGTGAAATAATTTCTAGCTAAAAACATGCTAAAACGCTCAAGAATAGCAAAATTAAAGTACTTTTGGACTTAATATCTTGATTTTTGAGTTGAGTTATTTTGCTCAAAAACCAATTAAATTGAGTGAGTTTGCGTAATTTTTAAGCGTGTTTGGACAAGATTTAGCCTATAGTTCAAAACGAAGTAAGTCGAACAAAAAAACTAAGAATAATATCAATATCGATTTAATTTTTAATTTTTTGCCAGCTTCAACGAAATCTTTAGAATTTGTTTAGTTTTATCTCAAAAAGGTGCTTAAACACTTGACAAGGGCAAAAATAACGCCGTTTTTGGTCGAATTTATGGAATTTTTGGTTTGTTTTTAACGAAATTTTGCAAAATGCGTTTCCATCTGAGAAATGTATTAAAACGCTTTGAAAAAGACCAAAATAATATACTTTTTGGACAAATTTAGCCATTTTTTGACCCTGATGAGTAAAATCTCATAAAAAAAACAATTATATTCCTAACTAAATTGATGATTTTTTATCATATTTTTGAAAAAATGTAACTAAATAATAGAGTTTCTAGACAAAAAACGTACAAAATGTTCAAAAGAATCACTAATTAAAAAATCAAATTTTGTTTCTTGGCGATTGCGCGAAAAGTTGATTTCCCAAAGGTTTGTACCTGAAAGAATTAATTGTGTATCTAGCTGAAAAAGTATTCGAAAAAAACAAAAATAAATTGTGATTTTCGATCCTGTCTAGTAACATCTTGTAAAAAAAATAAACAGAACAATTTTTTACCATTTTGTTGGTTTTTAGACTTTTTTGAAAAAACTTGAAATAATCAAGTTTCTGGTTGAAAACGTAATAAATTTGCGAAAAACACTTTTTTCATTTTCAAAAAAATCACCAGACTAACATGAAAATCACCAGATCTGGTGAAATTTCACCACACCTGGCAACACTGCTCTTATTAGCATTCTACCTTTGTCGAATTTTTCAGTGGATCTACTTTACTAAAAAGCAAGTTGTGAACGAGGAGAGTAAAACCTCGCCACAACGATTCGTACAGAAGACGTACGTGAGAAAAGTTCCAACGGTAATGACTCGCTTTTGAAATATTTTTGCAACACATAGAATTTTTTTTATTTTTGCCAAATACAAGACATCCGACATTTCGAAAATTAGCTAATTTACTGCATGAACTGTCGAGGGATCTCCCCACAGGTCGCCTCATACAACCCCGCTTAATTATTTCATTTCAACCCCTTCCCCTACTTTCTATAACTACCACCCCTCATTCACTAGGGCTACTTGAAAAGCCTCGGGATGGCGAGAACAGCCGAAGTGAAACGCGACGCCCGCATCGGCGAAGCCGAAGCCCGCGCCGACGCCCAAATCAAAGCCGCCATCGCTGAAGAGCAACGCATGGCGTCGGTGTTCCTCAACGACACCGAAATCGCCAAAGCTAAACGCGACTTCGAACTGAAGAAAGCCGCATACGACGTCGAAGTCCAAACGAAGAACGCCGAAGCCGAGATGGCTTACGAACTACAAGCGGCCAAAACGAAGCAGAAGATTAAAGAAGAACAGATGCAGATTTTGGTGGTGGAGAGGACGCAGCAGATTGCTGTTCAGGATCAGGAGATGCAGAGGAGGGAGAAGGAGTTGGAGGCGATGGTGAGGAGGCCAGCTGAAGCTGAAAAATACAAATTGGAGAAGTTGGCCGAAGCTGATCATAATAGGATTATTTTGGAAGCGCAAGCGCAAGCCGAGGCTGTGAGGCTGAAAGGCGAGGCGGAGGCGTTCGCTATTGAGGCCAAGGCGAAAGCCGAGGCCGAGCAGATGGCCAAGAAGGCCGATGCGTTCAAGGAGTATAAGGAGGCGGCTATGATCGACATGTTCTTGGATGTTCTACCAAAGGTAAGAAAAAAACACGAAAAAGGAAAACATTTAAAAAAAATGTGTTATATTGTTTTTTTTTTAATATTTGATTTCTTATTTGGAATTTACAATTCCAATCACAAACGTAAATAAAACTTATTTTTCTCTCTCAGAGTAAACAAAACATTTAAGCAACTAAACACATTAAATAAAAAAAAATATTGCGAGATATTTTATCTAAAATTAACAATTGAACTTTTAACTATATGTATGGAATTACGTCAAAAAGTTTTGAAATGAATGTATCACAACAAAAAAACAACGGGTAATAAATTTAAAATTTTAGGTTGGCAACCTTGACTTTCAAATTCAAACGTCAAACTTTTATAGGCAATTGTCACTCATTCGCGACGAGTGACTGTTAATTTAACCATCACCTGAAACATTTGATATAACAAATTAAAAAAATTACCAATAACTCAGTGTTGCCAATAGTTTTTTTGTCACAAACATTAATAGTCACCGGTACCTTGTGTATGCATTTATAAATTGCTAAAAACGTTTTTGAGGTTTAACTTTTTTGTTGGTTTCTTGATCGATTTTAGGAGAATCTTGTTTGTTTTTTTTTTCTATTTTATTTAATATCGAATTTTTATTTAAATTATAGTAGATTTCATTAAAATTGGCATAATGGATGGCTATGGACTTTCATATTTAAGTTTGTAGCCATATGTATGGAATTACGTCAAAAAGTTTTGAAATGAATATATCACAATAAAAAACAACGGGTGATAAATTTAAAATTTTAGGTTGGCAACCTTGACTTTCAAATTCAAACGTCAAATTTTTATACGCAATTGTCACTCATTCGCGACGAGTGACTGCTAATTTAACCGTCACCTGAAACATTTGATATAACAAATTAAAAAAATTACCAATAACTCAGTGTTACCAATAGTTTTTTTTGTCACAAGCATTAGTAATCACCGGTACCTTGTGTATGAATTTATAAATTGCTAAAAACTATTTTGAGATTTAACTTTTTTGTTGGTTTCTTGATCGATTTTAGGACAATCTTGGTTGTTTTTTTTTCTATTTTATTTAATATCGAATTTTTATTTAAATTATAGTAGTGTTCATTAAAATTGGCATAATGGATGGCTATGGACTTTCATATTTAAGTTTGTAGCCCTGCGCATGTCCCTGGTATGTCCCCAACAGATGGGGTTTTTGTTTTTCTTTGATTACTTACCTACATGATTTATTGAATTGACATAACTGACATTTGTATTAATTTTTTTCACTGTTTTCGTTGATTGTTCGTTATTCCCATCATTTTTACTTGCCTTACCCTAGAAGGAAGGTATTGTAATAGGCTGAAATTTGGCCTACCTATTTTTTACTTTTCTGGACGAATTATAGCTTCAAGACACCAAAAAAGTTGGTTTGGGTCATTGGGTCCTTTGTGTGTCTGTCTGTCTGTAAACAGCATATCTCGAGAATGATAAGAGCTAGAAACTTGAAATTTGGTATGTAAGTTACTTGCAGGAAGGGGACGCAGCACGAAAGAATTGGTTCGGCCGCAAAGACCAAAAATCAAAATTATACGGTTGAAGATACATAAATAAATTCATGGGGATAAAAATTATTTAGAATCATGAAATATGAAAAATAATAATGGGCACCGAACTAAAAAAATTGCACCTCAGATTCGAACCCGCGGTAATCCGGCAGGTGGCACTAACGCAAACGTTAGGTTTGATACGTGGATTTCCAACACTAAATTATTGTCGTAAGGATGTTTTCCAAATAAGTTGGATAAGGAAAGTCGTGTGATGTTCACACCAGATTTTTTCAAATTATAATTAAAAATAATTCTCTTCAGAACTCCAGATTTAGAGTACACGCTAAGGTATATTTGAAAACATTCTTTTTGTTGTGGTTAATGAAATCAAATTTACCACTTTGAATAAAGCCAAATTATTTTCTCCAAAGCAAATTGTGTATGTTTTTGATGTTAAAACTACACCTTCAAAGGAATGAAACAGTTTGTTAAACTTTTTATGGAAAAAACCCTTCTGAAAACCACTAAGAGTTCTTTAAAAATTAAATTTTAATTACCTTAACCTCACTTTTGTAGAGGCAAATTTAGTGCCTTAATATGTAAGGCCATGGTATGTCTCTCTGACATTTAAAGCGCGGTTTACACAATCATGGCCTACTGTTATGCCAATTTCAATGAAATAGATTATAATTATTTCGATTTTTTTTAAATATAACGTAGAAAGATTGTAAAATCCGTCAAATTTGTAATTTGTTCAATTTAGGCGCCTCTCCCCTGTGTTTTTTTTTTCAGTTTTTGTTGGTTGGTAATTTTTTTGTTTGATTTCAGATTGCTGCAGAGGTGGCGGCGCCTATATCCCAGACGAAGAAAATCACAATGGTGTCAACGGGATCGGGTGAAATCGGCGCTGCTAAACTCACAGGGGAAGTACTCGACATTGTCAACAAGGTCCCTCAACTAGTCAAGTCTTTAACCGGTGTTGATATAGCCAAGGTGAGGTCAACGCATTTCTTGTAGAATTCGTCAAAGTTTTTTTATTTGTAGAACATCCACGCTGTATAGGATAACGATGTTAAGGGATCGAGGACCAATTTTCGCATTTAACACCCTGCAGACGCTTTCGGATGAAGATAGTTAGCTTAAATCCTCTCAAGTCGAGCCTTATAAATATGTATATGTGTAAATGTATATTTTTTGTATGTGATTTTGGTGTGTAATTTCTGCCTCACGGACGATAACTAGAATCTCCCCACTTTTATGTAATTACTTGTTAAGAATACTCTAATCAAATTTTCCGTAATTATTGATTATTGTATTGTTCACGCGTGTTTTGTTTGTTGTAGCACGAGTTTTAACAGTGATGGGTTATGCAATTGGTATTATAGCATTGATGTGGAAGTCCTTGTTGTTATTATACTGTATGATGCCAAAAATTTATTCTCAAAGTCACTGTAAATTCTGGCCTGTGCTAATAAACGATATTTTACTATAAATAAACGATTTTTTTTGTTCAAGATAAAAAAATATTATTATTGATTAAAAAATTAACGATACAAAAATATTTATCCGCAAACGTTACAAAAATGACCACTTTTATGACTAAATGTCACAAGTAAAAATTCTATTTTTGCACCTAAGCGTTTTACTACTAACTGCACTAGTTAAATTAATAAACACTTTCGAAAATCTCAACACAAATTCCGATACTGACGCGTGATGTTTGTCTATAACCGTTGTTATGATTACATTAGTTGCAAAGCGTCCTGATTATTTTATTCATTTACTTGCTAATTATAGCGTTGCTTTTACTTTCGATCTGAATACGTTTGCGGATAAAATCATATATGTTATTCGGAGTATGTGGCTCAGGTGATATATTTGCCTCACTACGTTGAGCTTCGACGCATAAACTATCACTTTATAATATAATATAAACTATTGACGGGGAGTGCAGAGTTCATTAGCTGCAAGAGCGTAAACCTTGTCAATTATTGACAGAGTTTTATATTTATTTAAACAAATTTTGCAAGATAGGGTTAAGCAATTCTGGGACTTTCCGGTGTATTCCACTAAGAGTAAATAAAATATGAAGTAATTTGCAATAACAGAATATAACAAACCAAAAAAAAAAAAAAATAGATATGTTGGATACCAATTAACAACGGAATTTTTAATTATAGTGTTGTAAAATACAAAGATAACCAGATTATTCCGCTTCGAAAAATAAATGTTTTGCAATACAGGGTTATCTAATTGAATGTTTTAAGAAGTGTTGCCAGACTTGACTTTTTTTAATGTAATAGAACGAAATTTTGCATCAATTTTTGCGATAATTATTTGTCAAATTAATAAAAAAATTAAAAACTACAAAGAAGTTCAAGTTATAAAAAAATAATTGTTTTATGATTGTCAAGTTTTCTATTTTTAGCTCATTATACGTAATATAAGTAAACACCTAGAATTCAAGGTTAATTTTGAGTGTTTAAATTGCTAATGGGATCGATAAATATGTTATGTTAAAAATGATGCTTTTTAGTTTTCGCTCAATTAAAATATACTTTTTTTAGAAATTATCTTAAATCATTGGATGTGTTTCAACAAAATAAATACTTAGTCTGCAATTTTTTGCCTGATTAAAGCGATTTGAGCTGTTTCCAAATCAATTTTCATCGATTTAAGCAGGAAATCATTCTAAATCAATGTAATTCTGAAAAACTGAAAAATAAATGCTTACATCTCAATTTTATGGGCTAAATAATGCTTTTTGTACTATTTCCAATCAAATAGTCTCAATTTTAACCCTAAAATCGTTGTAAATCAATGTATTTTTACAAAATAATTGCTTAAATCACAGTTTTCGGTTAAAATAAAGTAATTTAGGCAATTTCTAACAAATTTGGCTGAAGTTTAAGCCAGAAGTCGTTGTAAATCAATGTATTTGAAGGAAACAAATGTTTAAACGACAGTTTTCTGCCAAAATAAGGCGATTGAAGCTACTTCCAATCGATTTTTGCTCGATTTTATGTCACAAAACAATCTAAATCAATATATTTCAACAAAATAAATGCTTAAATTTCAATTTTCTGCCAAAATAGAGCGATTTAAACTAATTTTACTACTAAATTTTTGCTTGATTTTAATCTATAAATCATTGTAAATCAATGTATTATTTCTATGAAATAATTGCTGAAATCACAGTTTTTTGTCAAAATAAAGTAATATAGGCAATTTCCAACAAATTTGGCTAAAGTGTAAGCTTAAGCCTAAAATCGTTGTAAATCCAATGTATTTTAACGAAATAAATGCTTAAATCACAGTTTTTTGTCAAAATAAGGCTATTTAAGCTACTTCCAATCGATTTTTGCTTGCTTTTAATTTAGAAATTGTTGTATTTCTACGAAATAATTGCTTAAGTCGCAGTTTTCGGTCAAAATAAAGTAATTTAGGCAATTTCCAACAAATTTGGCCAAAGTTTAAGCCAGAAGCCGTTGTAAATCTATGTATTTGGAGGAAACAAATGTTTAAATGACAGTTTTCTGCCAAAATAAGGCGGCTTAAGCTACTTCTAATCGATTTTTGGTTGAAATTGGGCCAAAAGTCAATCTAAATCAATGTATTTCAACAAAATAAATACTTAAATTCCAATTTTTTGCCAAAATAAAGCGATTTAAGCTGATTTTACTAATAGATTTTTGCTTGATTTTAATCTATAAATAATAGCTTAGATCGCAGTTTTCGATCAAATTTTGCAATTTCCAACAAATTTGGCTAAAGTTTTAAACCTAAAATCGTTGTAAATCAATGTATTTTAACGAAATAAATGCTTAAATCACAGTTTTCTAACAAAATAAGGCGATTTAAGCCACTTCTAATCGATTTTTGCTTGATTTGAATCTAGAAATTGTTGTATTTCTATGAAATAATTGCTTAAGTCCCAGTTTTCGGTTAAAATAAAGTAATTTAGGCAATTTCCAACAAATTTGGCCAAAGTTTAAGCCAGAAGCCGTTATAAATCTATGTATTTGAAGGAAACAAATGTTTAAATGACAGTTTTCTGCCAAACTAAGGCGACTTAAGATACTTCTAATCGATTTTTGGTTGAAATTGGGCCAAAAGTCAATCTAAATCAATGTATTTCAACAAAATAAATACTTAAATTAAAATTTTTTGCCAAAATAAAGCGATTTAAGCCACTTCTAATCGATTTTTGCGTGATTTGAATCTAGAAATTGTTGTATCTTTATGAAATAATTGCTTAAGTCCCAGTTTTCGGTTAAAATAAAGTAATTTAGGCCATTTCGAACAAATTTGGCTAAAGTTTTAAGCCTAAAATCGTTGTAAATCAATGTATTTTAACGAAATAAATGCTTAAATCACAGTTTTCTGACAAAATAAGACGACTTAAGCTACTTCTAATCGATTTTTGGTTGATTTTAATCTACTCGCAGTTTTCGGTTAAAATAAAGTAATTTAGGGAATTTCCAACAAATTAAGCCAAAAGTCGTTGTAATCACTAGATATATTTTAAGGAAATAAATGTGTAAATGCCTCTTAATTGCGTTATCGATTCTTACGCCATCCCACACCGCCGCTTAATGGCCATCAAATCGCTTAAATAACATCACCATGATTATTCCTCCCAGTGATCAACCGTCCGTCATGCTCAAACCACTACTTCTTCTCCTCGTACTCGCCGGCGCTCACTCTGCGCCCCTCGGCGACCTCTACCTCCCCGTCGACGACGTCGAAATCCTCACAATCGAAAACTTCAAAAAGTACGTGGAAAACTCCACCAGTGCATGGCTGGTGGAGTTCTACGCCAGTTGGTGCGGCTACTGCCAACGGTTCGCGCCCCCGTGGAAGAAATTCGCCACGGAGACGGCCCCCTGGAGGGACATGGTGAGAGTAGGAGTCTTGGAGTGCTCGGACGAGATCAACACACCGATTTGTCGCGAGTTTGGGATTGTTAAATACCCAACTGTGCGGTATTTCCACGAGAATTACCACTTCGGGGGTGGTGATTTTGGGGTGGTGGTGCCTCGCGAGTTTCCGGTGACTGTGGACGCGATCAAGAAGAACGTCATTGAGAGGTTTATGACGGAGTTGAGTGAAGGACGAGGAGTTTACCCCAACTTGCTCCCTTATCTTCACTCAAACCTTGAGCCGTTTTTTGACGAAGAAAATGACGATATTTTTTACGGGTTTTTGGTAATTGAAGAAGATAATTACTTAGGGGGGGAGGTGGCTTTAGATCTCCACAAAACTCCCAATATTACCATCAGACACGCTCTTTATAATAACACAAATTTGGTGAAAAACCTCAAAATTGAGAAATTCCCGACTCTTGTCATCATCGATCGTAACAACAACTCACAAATCATCACCGAAAATATTGAACACAAGAAGGAGCTAAAATCAACAATTGTCAATTTTTTGGAGAAAGAGGGCGTGAAAATTATTGAATACACCCCTGATAAAAAGGGTCATTTGTCGCAAGACCCCGACCCTAAGCAACACTCAAGAGCCCTTTTGCGTCAAAAAATCAAGAAAATGGGCGACGCAGTGTTTCAGATGGACCTGGAAACGGCCCTTCGCTACGCCCTTGAGCGTGAAGTCGCGACTTCTAGGGTGATCAAAGGTGATCAATTGGTAGCCTTGAAGGCGTTTCTATCCGTGATCAAGAAATACTTCCCTTTTGGTTACAACTCAACTTCTTTCATCACCGATTTGACGAATCTCACGTCTTCGGACGAAGTCCAAGGAGTTCAAATCCAAGTCCTGGTAAAGCAAGCGGAGGAAAACGGGATGTTTTCCACCCCTCAACGCTTCCTTGGGTGTCAAGGGAGTGCTAACCGCTTCCGGGGGTATCCTTGCAGTCTTTGGCGGTTGTTTCACTACCTCACCGTCAATTCAGTCCTTTTGAATGTCAGTAACCGGAAGGCTAATCCGGTGGAAGTCCTAAGTTCCATGCATGGTTACATTAAGCATTTCTTCAGTTGTAGCCATTGTAGTGAACATTTCCAGAAAATGGCCGCTGAGAGGAACTTAACAAGTGTTTCTTCGCTGGAGGAATCTGTTTTGTGGCTTTGGGAGGCTCATAATGTGGTCAATAAACGGTTGAAAGGTGACACCACTGAAGATCCGGAGTATCCCAAAGAACAGTTTCCGACGAGGGTGAGGTGTCCGGAGTGTTACCAGGAGGACGGATCGTGGAAGAAGAAAGAGGTCTTCAAGTATTTGAAGAGAATGTATGGGAGATACAGTGTTAGATATGTCGGGTCGGATACCAAGGTTTTGTTTCCGGGACTTGATAGATGATTTTGTTGTTTATATTTGGAGCGAATTGTAATAATTTCTTTCTTTGTTTTAAAAGAATTGTAAATAATAATTATGTAAGAAGTTTAACACAATAAAATTTTTAAGACTGTTACCTACGGCAACTGAATTATTGTGACGCCTCTGAAATTTCGAAATAGGGTTACGTCACAAGCGAAAAATAATATTTTTATTTATACTTGTGATTAAGTGATTACGATTATACCTCAAATTGGTCAGTTTTAAACGTTTCAAATTAGTTTTTTAACAATGTTGTCAACAAGTTTGTTATGTATGAATTTTCAATAAATTTTATAGTTTTTTCGTAAAAAAATCCATTGATTTCCATTATTTAATTTAATAACTAAGAATTATGATCAGAAAATGAGAGAACAGTCTGGAGCTATCAACTTTAATAAATTTACTTACTTTATCCTTTATCACAGATATTACCAATAGAGGTTTATTGACCCAACTTTATATCAGTAGAATGCAGGTAATTGAGATTATTTAACTTTTAAAACGATTAATAAAATCTGAATTTTTACTACCAAGAACAGTGTCTTATTTTCTTTTCTTATTTTTTAGTAACGGTATAATGAAATAGAAAACAAAACAAATTAGTTATTTTTTACAACTACGTAAAATATAGTTTTTGTGGACGAATCGTTGTTGTTTTCTTACTAAAGCTTCCGAAAACTGTATTTTAGGCATTTTATTATTCAGTCCAAAAAAGATTAATTTTACGGACTTAAATGAGTCCGTAAAATATCTATTTTTGAGAGCGTATACAATTTTTATTATTGTAGTGCTTTTTGTTTCCAAAAATACGTTAATGTAGCTGATTTTTTTCAAAAATTACTAAATTACAAATTACAAAAAGAATTATGTGGGAAACAATCCTATTATACAGGATGTTTCATAACTTGCGCTCTTGAGAAAAATACCGGGTAGGAAAAGATATCAGGAACATGGAAAAAATGTTTAAAAAATTCTATCTGTCAAAAAAATTTGATATTTATTTTTTGACATTTGAAATTTTTTGTCTATTTACACAAATAACGGAAAACACAATTACAATTCCGGATACAGCTTCTAATAGCCCTAGACAACAAGAAAAATGTTTAAAAAAATCTATCTAAAAAATTTCGAAGGTATGATAGTTTAAATTTTACATTTTGACTATTTATTTTTGTTGGAAAAATAACTTTCCAAGTTTTTTTGCTATAGGCTATTAGAAGAGGAAACAAGAAAGCTGTAGGTTTCCTAAATTGTAACTCTGTTTAGTGTTATTTGTGGCTTTTATTAGCTAAATTTTTGTATTATTAAATAATTAAAAAAAAACATATACAAGATCATCAGTTTCATTAAATAGACATAAAAAAATGTCAAATATCAAAAAATAAATGTCAAATTTTTTTTAACATTTTTTTAGTACTCTGTGAGACTATCCAATTACTCGCTTTCAAGAAGGTGCGTGACTTTCCGGACATTCTGTATGTAAAGTTATTTTTCTAGCAGAAATAAGTAGGGTCATGGCGTTAAAAAAATTTGTACTTTTTTCAACCGTTTTCAGCTGAGAAAGTTATTCGAACTTCAAGGCTGGAGAAAGTTAATAAGAGCAAAAAAGTAGGTATTTAATTTTCTTTACAACTCTGGAGTCTGGAGGCTGTGTAAGTTGGTTAAAAGTTGAAAATATTTATCGACATTTAGTAGAAAAATACATCTGTTTTTAATCGTTTCATTGGTTTATAATTCCACTCTAATTTTTCAATCTAATTATTCAGTGAATCAATTTTGCAAACTCTAAAGAGAATTTTTGGTTTCGAGTATTTTTCTTTAGTTTTAAGGTTTTGCTTTTTAACTTATATTTTTGTTATTTCTTGTTTTCTACTTTTTATTATTTTACCTGCATTCGTTTTTTGTTGGTGAATTATTTGTTTTATTTGTTTCTTTTCCAAATAAAGGTCTTATTATTATTATTATTATTATTAGTGTACATCTAGTGTTATGTACCTATAAGTAAAAAGTATAAAACTAAACGTTTTTTGATTGAACTACATACTTACTCTTATTACTTTCGTAAAAAAATGATCGTTTTTTTAAGAATAAAGAATGAGAATAAAGTTTTTGGAAATTTTTCTGTTTTTGAGTTTTGCATTTTTTTAATTACACCTGTAATAAAATGTATAAACAAATTCTGTTTAGATAGTAATTTTTAAATCACAGTCTTTGCGAATTTTTCATGGTAATTGCAACGGTAACTTTTAATTTTTACACTCTATTATTATTTTTGGCAGGTCAAATAACTAAAAATTTGTTCACGTTAACGACATTTTTCATTCACTAGTGAATAAAGCAACATTTTTGTTAATCCTTGAAGCTAAAAACTCGTTCTTTTTCATACTTCCAAGTTCCAACTGGGTGATAAATATTTAACACTAAATCGTTAATGGTCAATATTAGGTTCCAAACTACCTCATAATATTCTAAAACAAAGAAATCATTTGTGAGAAACGCATTTCAGCACATTTATGGCTTGATAATAACAATAAGCGTCAAAATTTATTCACTCAGAAACAAAGTTACATCATGAACAAGGCTTTCGTGTTGGTCCTTCTGGGCATTGCTTGTACCCAAGGGACATTTTTCGGTGCTTTATACTCTCCCAAAGACGATGTGGAAATTCTCACTGGCTACAATTTCAACAAATTTATTCAAAACTCACCCACTGGGTGGTTAGTCAATTTTTACAACACTTCGTCCAATCAGAGTCAAGTATTTGCCTCAATCTGGAAGGAATTTGCTACAGATGCAGCGTCTTGGAGGGATTTAGTGAGAGTTGGGGTCATAGACTGTTCAAACGCGAAAAACGCAAGAATTTGTAACGATTTACCAGTCTATCCCTACCCGTCTGTCTCCTACTTTCACGCACATGGGATGTTTAGGAGAGACAGTTCAGAACACGGTATTTCCATTGGAGAAACACTTGATTTAATGAAACGAAACATTATTAATTTTTTTGCACAGGAAATCGTGACGAGTCATGGAAGAGAGTTAGTAGAATACCCAAGAAGCATAGTACCATTATTGGATTCCAATCAAAACGAACTCTTTAGGGGAGAAAATAAAGATATCCGCTACGTTATCTTGGTGATTGAAGATTACATAAGACCATTAGGGGCCGAAATGGCGTTGCATTTTCGCAAAACACCTCACGTTGCTTTTAAACGCTCTTTGGCCGCGAACTTAATCCAGCAACAACAATTAAAAATTGAGAGTTTACCACACATTATCATCACAGATCGGAACAACAATGTGGAGGTTATTTCAGATGGTGTTAATGGAACCAAAAGCATGAAGTGGGTTCTTACAAAATATCTAAAATTGAAAGGCATCAACCCGGTTGTTGTCATTCCAAGGAAACTGGATAAAATGCCACAGCAACCCAAAAGTAACAACTATGTTATCATTCAAGTCTGAATATTTTGTATTTAATTCTATAAAAATTGACGCAAATAAAAATTATAAAAACACAACTTGAATTTTTAGAAAGAAAAATAAGACAATTATAATTCGAAAAATTCTACAAGTGATCCAGAAAGTCTGAGTCTGTTGGCAATACTGAATTTAATTTTTAAATAGTACCTCTGATTACTCTAACTTCCGGTAACCTGACATTGACAGCCAGTGGTGCCAAATCACCGGATCTGGTAATTTTCATCTTAGTCTGGTGATTTGGTAAAAACTTTAGTAAAAATTCTTATATCTGGTGATTTTATTACAATGAAAAAAAACGTTTTTCGAGCATTTTCCACGTTATCGACCAGAAACTTGTTAAGTCAAATTTCTTCAAAAAACTCGAAAAACTACCAAATTGGTTAAAAACAGTTCTGGTTGTTTTTTTTACAAGATTTTACAAGATCGAAAATGACAATTTATTTTTTTGTTTTTTTCGAATACTTTTTCAAAACAATTCAAAAATTCAACAATTTCGGCCAAAAACGGCGTTATTTTGCCCTTTTTAAGTGCTTAAGCACCTTTTTGAGATAAAAACAAAGAAAATTCTAAAAATTTCGTTGGGGCTGGCAAAAAAATTAAATCGAAATTGATATTATTTTTAGCTTGTTTCGCTCAATTTACTTCGTTTTAAAACCAGATTCTCCTTTATTTTGTAAAATCTGGTTCAAACACGCTTAAAAATCACAAAAACAATTGTTATTGATGTTATTTTGTTTGTTTCACTCGATTTAACTTGTTTCTGAGCAAAATAAGACCAAAATAAGCTGAGAATGTTTTTAAGCACGTTTTTGTACTAAAATCTCAAGTTTTTTGCGAGATTTCGCTAAAACGAACTGAAAAATCAAGATATTAATTCGAAAATTACATTATTATTATTATTATTATTCTTGAGCGTTTTAGCATGTTTTTTTAGCTAGAAACTCAATTATTTCGCAAAATTGGTTAAAAAACAAAGAATTAGGTCGAAAATGATATAATTTTTTCCTTTTTCGAATGTTCAAACAGATTTTCAAGCTAAGAACTCTATTTTTTGTGAGAGTTTGCTATAGCGTGTCAAAAATCGCTACATTGTTATAAAAAATATTATATTTTAATATTTTTACCTAACTCTTAAGCTTTAACTTGATTATTTCCTTAAATTTTCTTGAAGAAAAAATAATCGAAAACCACCAAATTGGTTAAAAAAACTTATTTTAGTTTTTTTGAATGCTTTTTCAGCTAGAAACACAATTATTTTGCAAAATTTTGTCAAAAACAAGCCACAAATTCAATAAAATAGCCCAAATACGGCGTTTTTTCGAGTGTTTAAGGATGTTTTTGAGAGACAAAAACACAAAAAGTTAAAAGTTTAAAAAATTGCATTGAAGCAGGCAAATTAACTCGAAATTAATATAATTTTTAGATTGTTCCGCTTCGTTTTTGAACCAGGGCTCATTTATTTTACAAAATCTTGTTCAAACCCGCTTAAAAATCACATAAACAATTCATATTGATGTTATTTTGTTTATTTCACTCGATTTAACTGTTTTTTTAAGCAAAATTAAGACAAAAATAAACTAAACCACACAATTTGACCGAAAATGCGCAGTTTTGTACTTTCTAGATTTCGCTAGAACAAACTAAAAAAATGAAGAAATAAAGTAAGTCTAGAATTACATTATTTTTGCATTTCTCGAGCATTTTAGCACGTTTTTCAGCTAAAAACGCAATTATATATTTTGCAAAATTTTGTTGAAAACAAACCGAAAAATCATATAGAATTAAGAAGCAGTTATTCTGGATCAGTGTTGCCAGGTCTGGTAAAATTTCACCAGATGTGGTAATTTTTATACTAGTTTAATTTGGTGAAAACTTTTGTAAAAATTAATGTATTTTGAAATAATTTTTTTAAATTGAGTATTTGCCCAAATGTTAGTAAAATTAATTTTAATTTGATTTTTTAATTATTGTAGTAAATTCAGTCAAAAATAATGACACTTTTTTGTATTTTTTTGAGCATTTTGCACGTATTTTAATCCATACAGAAACTCAAATGCTAAATTTTCTCAAAACAAGTTAAAAAATTGAGAAACAGTTTTGTTTTTAAATGATATTTTACTTAACAAGTTTAAAAAATCGCAAAAATGGGTGAAAAAGTACATTATTTTGTCTATTTCTGAGCGTTTTATTATGTGTTTAACCTGAAATAGAACTACAAAATTTTGTTAAAAACAAACCAAAAGTTTATCAAATTAGACCAAAACCAATGTTATTTTTGAATTTTTAGAGTTCACGTTCTTAAAACACATTTGAATTTTTGCTAAAACTGACTGAAAATTTACCAAATTAGATTGAAATTGATATCATTTCAGCGTGTCTCACTGGATTTAGTTCGTTTTTGAACCAGTGACTCATTTATTTTGCACGATATTGTCAAAATATGCTTAAAAACAACAAAAATAAATTGATCAAAATTGATCTTATTTGTTTGTTTCATTCGATTTAGCTCTTTTTAAGTAAAATTTTGTCAAAAAGATAAAATAAACATTAAAAAATATCGTCAAAAATGGTGTACATTGCAAGATTTTGCTTAAACAAACCAAAAAAACCATCAAATTACGTCATTATTTTTGCCTTTAAAGTAAAAACGTAAATATCGTGTGATTGTAAATGTGAGAAATTCAATTTCCATAAAACAAATATAGCACTTTAATGTGTTTTTTATTTCGTTTTTCTAATCACACATTAGTTGGCATGCAAAAAACACTTGCACTGTTTTTTTTGGGGCTCCTGTGTGCCGAGAGGGTGCCTCCCCGTGTTTTGTACTTCCCCACCGATGACGTGGAAATTCTCGATGTCACCAACTTCAACTACATCAAGAATTCACCCACTGCTTGGTTAGTGACTTTTTATGGAAAAACGTGCAAACACAGTCACGAATTCGCCCCGATTTGGAGACAGTTTGCGTCAGAAGCAGCACCGTGGAGAGACATTGTAAGAGTGGGGGTTGTGGATTGTTCAGATACCAAAAACACGAAGCTTTGTGACGAATTCAAAATCGACTCACTTCCCACTTTGAGATATTTCCACGAAAAGTCCCGGTTTGGGGCCAATAATCCAGGACTGGACATCTCAGTTGGGATCAATCTTATTTTTACAAAACGTTTTATTTTTAAAACAATCGTGGGGGAAATTATGAAGGGTAGAGGGAGGATTTATCCCCGTGGTTTAGTACCATACCTTCACACTAATTCAACAGAACTGTTTATTGGAGAAGAGACAAATACATATTTGGTTTGGGTGATTGAAGATATTCTTAGACCTTTAGGGGCTGAAATGGTTATGCACTTTCATAGAACACCAAAGGTTTCTTTCAGGCGTTCACAACCAAACTCGTTTAGTGTTTTTCCGAAAATTGTGTTTGCAGATCGTGAAAATAGTTTGGTGGTAATTGAGAAAAATATAAACGGAAGTCTCGAAATGAAGCAAATTATTAGCGATTTTCTGAAGAGTAAGGGTATAACGCCTTATGTAATTATTCCAGCTAAAGTGGAAAAAATGTACCCAAGAGTGTGACAAGTCTAAATAAAGATTATTTTTATTGGGAGTGTTATTTATTCTCGTAAAATTTAATGATTGAAAAAAAATTGAATAGTTTTTGTAAAAAAATAATTGTTTCATTTTTGCTCATTTTGCAATACTCAAGTGTTAAGTCCCGTTACAAAGCTTTTTTATTCTTAAACTTCAAAAATCGATGTTTCCGATTTTTTCAATACCAATCAAGAGTTCAAGTCTAAGTAAAGTTACCCCGAAATCGATACTACGTCCAAAATTTTAGACGTTTTAATTTTTGGACCAAAAATGAGTTGTGAAATATTGGATTCAAACCTATAGCAAAAAAAATTATCCCTAGTTTAAGTCTTTGTTAAAATAAATAATTAACAAAAAACAACTAAAAAAACATTGTCACTTTAAACTTTAGTATTTTACTACTATATAGGCAACATACTATTTTATGGAGCGTATTAAGAATTGTCCAACAACGAATGTAGTTTGAAATTATTAATTTGTCATAAAGAAATGTGAATAACTATTTTATATTAAATTAACTTTAATAAAAAAGTATAAAAAATAAATTAGTACCTAAAAAAAAGGCAGTGCCCGGAATGCAACTTTAACAATTTAATTAAAAAACCTACTAAATAAAAAAATAGATTCATTTAATTGCAGGTCATCTTTAAATCAAAGTTTTTATTTAAAAAAATTGCATATTAGGTTCCTATTAAAAAACACAATTTTTACAACAAAACTCTTGTCGACTTGAATTAATTATAAATTATAAGATAGTAGAGGTTGTAAAAAAATGTGAATAATTAAATAAACACTTCTAATAAACAATTTTTTTAAGTTTTTTTATCAAAAAGCTTTCCTTGTATTTTTTTAGATTATATAATAATTTATATATAACAAGTCGAAAAATCATCAATTTCATTAAGAAAATAATTTCATTTGTTCTCTTTTTATGTGATTTCACTTATCAGAGTCAAAAAATTGCTAAATTTAGTCGAAAAGTAAGTATGTATATTATTTTGGACTTTTTCAGAGCGTTTTAGTACGTTTTCCAACTAGAAACAAAACAATTTTGTAAAATTTCGTTAAAAACAAGCCGCAATCTTCCTAAATTACGCCAAAATTAATGTTATTTTTTAGTTCTACTCGATTTCAATAATTTTTGAGCTAAATTAAACCAAAAACCGTGTTATGTTTGCCTTTTACAAGCATTTAAGCACGTTTTTGAACAAATTTACGAGATTTATGTAAAAAAACGTAAACGTAAACCTTCGACACTTATTACAAAAATTTAAATCACAATCTTGTAATCTAGAAAAAATAATACTTGTAAATGTAGCAACTTTTCAGCTCAGATCTGGTGAATTTAATTTTTTGAGCTGGCAACCCTTGAAAATATTTTCAATGTGTAGCAAGGTTCTATGCATGGAACCTTGATTGAGCCAACCCCAGGGTTACGGAATTTTATCTGTTCTAGGGAAAAAGAGAATTTATGTGTAAATGTAGAGAAAATTTTTATCTTCGACAAAAAAAGACATTTTTGCATTTTTGCATTTTTGTTTTGAAAATATATTGTTTTCGGTTTGTTAACACTTCACTACGAAGAAAAATTAATGGTGTTTATTTCTAATATTGAACAGATAAATGAGTACGATATCTTTTCTTTGTATTAATGAACTTCATTTACCATAAAATATCATTTTTTCGGGGTCTCAGAAAGCCAAAAATTTTCCTATTTTTTTTCCAAACGGCGTGAGGTAAAATTGTGAAATTGTGGAATCTCACTTTTGCTTCTATGAAAACTGATACAATATGAGTGATTAATGAATGACCTTAGTATTTTTTTTATAATTATAGCGATATTGCATTCAAAATCATCTGTAGACATTGAAGCACCCTGTATTGAAAATTATATATACATTTAAAAAACATTTTTTTAAGTTCAATGTTCAATTGTAAACTTTTTTTTCGTTAAAAATTACAATGTTTGTTTATCTTATAAACAAAGTTGATATCTGGTGCTCTTGAAAAAACATATGATAACAATGTCACAATTTATACAACTCATATCTTACGTCACTTGATAACCAAATTCGATTAAGACAAATATCTCTAACAGTAATAAAGCGTTCTTTGTGCTTTAGTAATTTTCACACCATGAAGAAAATCACCGTTTTCCTCCTCACTTTTTTCCTATCAATTAGCACACAAAGTGATGAATTATTGTACGAGTCTAGTGACGGTGTTGAAATCCTCGACGTCAACAACTTCAACACCAAAGTTGAAAATTCCCAAACTGCTTGGTTAGTGAAATTCTACCTCGGCTGGTGCGGAACTTGTCAAAAACTTTCAAGTGAATGGAAGAAATTTCGCAATGAAATCATCCAATGGACAGATTTGGTCAATGTGGGGGCTATTTCGTGCTCAGACCCTGTCAATACACCAATTTGCGTGGATCACAACATCAGTGCTTACCCCACAGTCAAGTATTTCCCCGAAAATTACACAAGTTTAAATTTAGGATCAGTAATACTCAAAGGCGAACACTTGGATGTCAAGTCAATTAAAGAAAGAGTAATTGAGAGAATTAGGACTGAAATTATTGAAGGCCGAGGTCAAATGTATCCAAATTTGTCACCATACAAGCACTCGAATCTTGAAAACTTGTTCGAAGGGTTGAGTGAAAGTGTAAAATATGTTTTTCTCGTGGTGGAATCCCCGGATCAGTGTTTGGGGGCTGAAACCGCCTTGAATTTACACAAAACTCCAAATATTTCTATCAAATATTCTCTCAGTACCAACACTGAGTTAATGAAAAATTTACAAATCACGAAATTTCCAACAGTGGTTGTTCTAGACCGTTACAAAAACGTTTCAAAACGGTTCACAGAAAATACCAAGGATGTGATTGAGTCATTTTTGGTCCACAATGGTTTAGAAATAAAAATCCTTGAAACAAACCCCAGAAAAAGTAGCAAAGTTGCCCCCACACAATCGCTTTTGAGTCAAATAATTAGAAAAATGGGGGACGTTATTTTCCAAGTGGACTTTGAAGCTGCATTGAGATACTCCCTGAAACAGGAGATTTCAGTGGTTAAAGTGATAACAAACGAGCGTTTGGAAGCATTAAAAGCTTACTTAACTGTGATTGAAAAATACTTCCCTTTTGGTTATAAAAACTCGTCTTTGGTAACCAACCTAATCAAAGTTACGTCAAACCGTGAAAAAGTTCAAGGTGTTGAAATACTCCAACTTGTGGAAAAAGCTGAAAAAAATCACTCGTTTTCGTCATCTCAAACCTATCTAGGGTGTCAAGGGAGTGTCAAGGGAAAACGAAGATATCCCTGCAGCTTATGGCAGCTCTTCCACTACTTAACTGTCAATTCTGAAGATCCGAGAGAAGTCCTAAATGCGATGCATGGTTATATCAAGTATTTTTTCAGTTGTGGTGGTTGCAGTAAACATTTTCAGCAAATGGCAATTGAGAGAAATTTACAGGGTGTTTCTTCGTTTGAAGAAGGGCTTTTGTGGTTATGGGAGGCTCATAATGTTGTGAATGAGCGTCTGAAAGGTGACATAACTGAAGATCCGGTGTTTCGGAAAGAACAGTTTCCGGCGAGGTTACAGTGTCCAGAGTGTTATGAAGAAGATGGGTCGTGGAGGAGGAGGAAAGTGTTTGAATATTTGAAGAAAATGTATGGGAAGTATAATGTTAGATATATTGGTTCTGACACCAGAGTTTTGTTTCCCGGTTTAGACAAGATGTTCTAAACTTTTATACAATTTTACATTTTTATAAAAACGAAAAATAATTGTATTATGTTAATAAACGAATTTTGTAATATAATTTCTGTCAATATTTTAGTACATATTTCTTCATGTTTTAAAGCTTTTGTCCTACTTTTTAAAATTTACTTGAATTGTTAGTACTATGCCGCTGCGACTTTGCGCCCTCGGGCAGTCTCTCTGCTTTAATTCAATATAATCATTCAAACACAAAATATATTTTTCGCGTTTTTACAACGTTTTATGTACTTTTGGACCCCAAAAAGTCCATTTGTAGACATTTTTAACAATTTGTTAAAGTAAGAGCACATACAACTAAAAAATCAATTCGCTAAAAAATCCTTAAAACAATCAAATGAAGAAATGTAGATGATAATCGAAGAAGAAGAAAGAGTAGAGACTATGAAAATATGTTTTAAGAAATCAGCTGTAAATAATAATTATGTAGGAAAAAAAACTTTAATAAAAAAAATAGACTATTAGACTCTGAAGTTTCAAAAATAAGAAATAATACTTGTCAATAGTGATAAAAATATGTGTCCAGTTGATGAAAGTTTTCATCCACTAGTGAATAAAACAAAATTTTATTGGTAACGAAAAATAATTGTATAAGTTTAATAAACGAGTTTTGTAATATAATTTATGTCAACATTTTTCATATTTCTTCATGTTTTAAAGCTTTTGTGCTCTCTTTTAACATTTACTTAAATTGTTAGTATTTGAATTTGAATTTTGTTTAAGATTTTATGCCGCTGCGACTTTGCGCCCCCGACCAGTGTCTTTGCTTTATTTCAATATAATCATTCAAACACAAAATATATTTTTCGCGTTTTTACAACGTTTTATGTACTTTTGTACCCCGAGAACTCCATTTGTAGTGGTATTTAACGATTTGTTAAAGTAAGAGCACATAGAACTAAAGAACGAATTCGCTAAAAACTCTTCAAAACGATCAAATAAATAAATAAAGAAATGTAAATGATAATTGACGAACAAAGAGAAAGAGTACATAATATGAAAATATGTTTTTCTACTTTGCGTTCGTACTAAGATCCATTACGAAACTGTTTTGGATTTCGTAATGAACAAAAACAGTGCTATAAAAATTATACTAAAAAGAGGGAAATTTAGTCTTATAATGTTGGCGACCTAACCGTTTTTCCATCGAACTGTCAGTGTCAATCGGTCTAACGCAAATGAAATTATTCAACTACGAAATTTTTGCTGTGTTTGGTTTAATTAATCATATACTATTAAAAAACAGCTGTAAATAATAATTATATAACAAAAACTTCAATAAAACATAATTTTTAATAAAAAATAATAATACTAGACTTTTAGACTCTGAAATTTCGGAATTAAAAAATTATACTTAGTAGTAAAAAAAACTCTTTAAACAATTAAATGAAGAAATGTAAATGATAATCGAAGAACAAGGAGAAAGAGTAGAGAATATCAAAATATATTTAAAAAAAATCTGCTATAAATAATTACATAAGAAAAGCTTTAATAAAACAAAATTTCTAATAAAAAAAATAGACTGATAGACTCTGAAATTTCGAAATTAAAGAATAATACTTGTCAACAGTAATAAAAATACGTGTCCAGTTGATGAAATTTTTAATCCACTCTAGTGAATAAAACAGAATTTTATTGATTTTTGAATCTAAAAAATCATTTTTTTACACATTTGAAATGATTGTATTATTTTAATAAACAAATTTTGTAATATAATTTCTGTCAACATATTTCATATTTCTTCATGTTCTAAAGCTCTTGTGGTATCTTTTAACATTTACTTGAATTGTTAGTATTTGAATTTGAATTATATGACTTTATGCCGCTGCGACTCTGCGCCCCCGACCAATGTCTCTGCTTTAATCCAACATAATCATTCAAACGCAAAATACATTTTTCGCATTTTTACAACGTTTTACGTACTTTTGTACCTCGACAAAAGCATTTGTAGGGGTTTTTAACTATCTGTTAAAGTTAAAAAAAAAACTCTTCAAAACAATCAAATAAAGAAATGTAGATAAAAATCGAAAAAAGAAAGAGAAAGAGTAGAAAATATAAAAATATGTTTTAAAAGAATCAGCTGTAAATAATAATTATGTAAGAAAAGCTTGGATAAAACAAAATTTTTAATAAGAAAAGTAATATTAGACTGTTAGACTGAAATTTCAAAATTAAAAAATAATACTTTTCAACAGTAATAAAAATATGTGTCCAGTTATTGAAATTTTTAATCCACTAATGAATAAAACAAAATTTTGTTTGATATTTGAACCTAAAAACTCGTTTTTTTATACTTCCAATTGGGTGTTAAATATTTGATACTAAACGTTGTAATAAATCGTTAATGGTCAACATTATGTTCAAAACTACCTCATAATATCCTAAAACAAAGAAATCATTTGCGATAAACGCATTTCAGCACATTTACGGCTTTATAAAAATAAACGTCAAATTTTTTTCACTCAGAAACTACGTTACATCATGAACAAGACTCTTGTGTTAGTTCTTTTAGGCATTGCTTGTGCCCAAGGTACAATGTTCCGTGAAATGTTTTCTCCCAACGACGATGTTGAAATTCTCAATTCGCACAATTTCAAGAAATTTGTCTACAACTCACCAACTGGATGGTTAATCAATTTTTACAGCAGTTTGTCTAATCGCAGTCAAGAATTTGCCCCAACTTGGAAGGAATTTGCTACAGATACAGCGTCCTGGAGGGACTTAATGAGAGTGGGAGTTTTCGACTGTTCATCCCAGGGAAACAATAGAATTTGCTTCATGTTCCATGTTTTTTCATACCCTTCTGTCTTGTACTTTAGCGAAAATAGTGTGTCTGAAGGTAGCTTCAATTCAGGAATTTCTATAAGCTCTTTAGAGCCACTGGATATAATTAAACAAAGTATTATTAACCAGTTAGTACTTTCCATCCACCAGAGTCACGGAAAAGAGTTGTTAAAATTCCCAAGAAGCATAATACCAACGATGGACACCAATGAAAATAAACTTTTCGAAGGACAAAAGAAAAATATCCGCTATGTTATCTTGGTAATTGAAGATTACGTAAGACCATTAGGGGCCGAAATGGTGTTGCATTTTCGCAGAACTCCTAATGTTGCTTTCAAACGGGGTTCGGCCGTGCTTTTAACCGAGAAACAGAAACAGAAAATTAAAAGTTTACCCCAAATTGTCATCACAGATCGGAACAACAATGTGGAGATTATTTCAGAGGGTATTAATGGAACCAAAAGCATGAAGTGGGTTCTTACAAAATATCTAAAATCGAAAGGTATCAAACCAGGTGTTATCATTCCAAAAAAACTAGACCAAATTCCACCCAAAGTAGAGAAAAAACCCAAAGACACCAAATATGTCCTCATTCGTGTCTAATTTTTACACTATTCACCATTTGCTTTGTATTAAAGTCTGTAAAAGCTGACCAGTAAATAAAAATTATAAAACAATTTTTCAAACATTACTTAGTCAATAATTAAGACATTTCTCGTGCTAAAAAAAATTAAATTATAGGCTGATTTAGCTAAATATTTCAGGAGTTTGTATAGTTGGTTGCATATACATTAGGCTAAAACTTGCAATACATTTCACAAATGCAAAAAAGTACATAAAAACTTTGTTGTTCGGGTCCAAATTAAATATTTCCTATTTTTTCAGAAAAATGTAAATATTAGAAAAAGACAATTTATTTATTTAGTTAAGTATTTATTTATCTTATGCATACAAAAAAAACACTTATTTTATTAGCAAAAATAATTATTCACAAATGACCCAAAGCCTGCGTAGGGGGAACGTGGGTTAAATAGAAAATTACGTTTTAATATCACACGGATCGTTTAATCAGAAAATTCAATTCAAGTGCGATCAAGTAAATAAATTCATTCAAAACACACCGTACAACTCCCACATTTATGTTCCTCCAAAAACAATATTGTTTTCGGTATTTTTTCATGATAAATTAGGCACTTGATGTGTGAAATTATCTAATTTTTTAGACTATTGGATTAAATAATCAGTTGGAGTAATTGTTAAGATTTTGAAACGAAAAATATTTATAGTGAAATATTAAACTTTGCGAAAATTGATTAACTTGAAGAAAGAAATTACTCATTAACAAGGTTTTTCCGTACTCCCACGAGTAAATAAACACCATTCTATCGTTTTTCACAAACATGCAACAAAAACAATGCAGATTAAGTCGTTTCGTAATAATAAATGTCTACATTTTGCATAAATCGACCGTATCAAATTGCCTCCCACAATTTTTAATTTCAAATAACGACGTTACGTACGACTGAACTTTTTCATTTAACCTTACGTTAGCAACATCAAACAGAAATCAGTCTTTGTGGAAAAAAAATCAAAGTAATAAAAAAATAAATAATAAAGAAGTCTAAAAATCTCGAAAACGGCTGATCTCAAATATAGTAAATATAAGTTTCATAACTTTTACAAAATAACTCGGAAAATCAAAAAAATAAAACAACGCTTTCATTTAAAATAACAAAGATGATACCCATTTCCGGTATATGTAACCGCTATCAGTGTTGCCAAGGCTGGTGAAATTTCACTATATCAGGTGATTTTTATGGTAGATTTGGCGAAAACTTTTGTAAAAATTGAATATTTTTCACGATATTTTTAGAAATCTGTAACTGCAGTTACAGCAGAAAATTAAAAGGTATATTTTGAAATTATTCTTTTAGAATAAAATTTGCCCAAACCTTTGAAAAATTAAGTTTTCTGCGTAATCGTCTAGAAACAAAATTTGATTTTTTAATTAGTGATCCTTTTGAACATTTTGTACGTTTTTTGTTCAGAAACTCAATTATTTAACCACATTTTTTCAAAAATATGTCAAAAAATCATCAATTTAGTTAAGAATATAATTTTATTTGTTTTTTTTTTATGAGATTCCACTCATAAAGGGTCAAAAAATCGCTAAATTTGTCCACAAAGTATATTATTTTGGTCTTTTTTAGAGCGTTTTAATACATTTTTCAGCTAGAAACACTATTATTCTGCAAAGTTTCTTTACAAACAAACCGAAAATTCACCAAATCAGACCCAAAATAATGTTATTTTTTCATTTAGAGTGTTTCAGCACGTTTTCGAAATACATTCAACGTTTTGCGAAAACTGACTAAAAAATTACCAAATCAGATTAAAATTGATATTATTTTAGATTGTTTTGCTCGATTTTTTCGTTTTGGAACCAGAAAACTCACTTATTTTCAAAGATTTTGTCAAAATATACCTAAAAGTTACAAAAAAAGATATTGATGTTATTTTATTAATTTCACTCGATTTAACTGGTTCTGAACAAGATTAAAACAAAAATAAACCGAAAAAACTCAAAATTGCATAAAAAATGTGTTACTTTATCTTTTTTTTAAGTCTTTAAGCACGTTTTTGAACCAAAATCTGTTTGTTGCGGAATTTTGCGAAATCAAACCCACACAAAAACACCAAATCAAGTCATTGGGTGGTATGAATTAATTGTAGCAAAAGCATTATTTACTACTATAGTCTTGTCTCTTTCTTTCGCATAAAATCTAAATTACGTCTATCTTTTACTATTACAAGCAGAATCATTTACTTAACTTTATTCATTCTTTTTGTCTTTTTCAAGTGTTTCGCCATGTTTTTTAAATAAAAACGTAAATATTTCGAAAAAAATATAAACAATTACCGAGTTAGACCAATGTTGGCCTACTTCAAGCAAATGTAAAAAAACGTAAACCTTCGACATTTATTAGAAAAATTAATGCTTCCAGTTTGAGGTTTAGCCGGCACATCCTATACAGGGTGCGTCAGAACTCGCGCCCTAGAGAAAAAAACATGGAAAAAATGTTTAAAAAAATTAATCTATAAGTTATGAGAATTTAAATTTTGCACTTTGACTCTATTTATTTCTGTTGGAAAAATAATTTTCCAGGTTTTTTTGCTACAGGTTATTAGAAGAGGAAACAAGGAAGCTACATCCTAAATTGTAACTCCGTTTGACGTTATTTGTGGCTTTTATTAGCAAAATTTTTGTACTTTTACTAAATAATTGTAAAAAAGCATATACAAGATCATCAGTATCAATAAATAGACATAAAAAAATGTCAAATGTCAAAAAATTTATGTCAACATTTCCATGTTCCTAGTATCTTACCTTACTTGAAATTTTTCTCTGGGGCGTGTTCTGGCGCACCCTGTATAACGTTGTTAACAAGAATGATTACAGGTTGTGAGGTTGATAAGAACAAACACCAAAGTTACATAAGAAAGTAGTTGTACTCTCAATTGTATTTTATTATTTACATGCATTTCACTTAATCAAGCATAAAACACTTTGTATAAAATAGTCAATAAATACAATAAAAAACCGGCAAAAAATTTAAAATACGTAATCAGTCACGTTTTGTTGCAAAAATATAAAACAACCTTGATCTTGTACCTACCCAACAAATAAAATGCAATCGACTAAACAACTAAAATATTTACATAACAAAGTAGTATTCTTTGGTAAACAAAAGAATGTGATGTAACTTAAACCTAGTAAATCACAAATGTTCGTTGTCCATTTCCAGGGCCCCTCCACCATCATCAATCACACTTTACCCAACAGGTCGTAAACGTACGGCTTTTTCCGATAGCCTCGCTTTAGAAATATACGTATTAGTACAGCTAGTAATAAAAAAGAAAACACATATAAAATAAAACACATACTCATATCTAACTGTCTAAAAACGCTGCTGGATCCGCTCGACGCCGCCTTCCCCCCCTCCAAGCCGACGTGGAGGAGCGTCGTGTCCGACCCGATGTACCTCACATTAATCCCGTTATACATCTGCTTGATATACTTCAACACCTCCAACAACTCCCAATTATTGTTATTCCGACACGTCGGACACCTCTCCTTCGACGGGAACTGCACCTTCGGGAACTCGGGATCCTCCGTCTGGTCCCCAGCCAGACGCTTATTCACCTCGTTGTGCGCCATCCACAGCCACATCACCGACGAGTCCAACGACGACACGTTGTGCATCTCTCTCCGCAACGCCATCTCCTGGAAGTGCTGACTGCAATCGTGACACCCGAAGAAGTTCTTCACGTAGCCGTGCATCACATTTAGGACTTCCAACGGGTCAGCGCGTCGGTTATTTACATTCTGCTCCGCTGAATTCACCGTTAGGAAATGGAACAACTTCCATAAACCGCAAGGGTAGCCCCGGAAAGCCGGGGAACTCCCCCGACACGCCAACCATTGCTGGGGGGAGGAAAACACGTAACTGGTCTCACCCTCGGCTCGGGTTATCACTTCGGCTAGTTCCGAGCCGGGGACGGAATCGGCCGAAGCTTTCATCGCCAGTTCGGTGAGGAAGAGTTGGCCGCCGCGGCCAAAGGGGAAGTACTTCCGGAGGATGTTTAAATAAGAGCGCAAAACTTGCAATTTCTCGCCTTCGATGAGTTTAGTTGTCGCGATTTCGTGTTTAAGGGAGTAGCGAAGGGCCGTTTCAAGGTCCATTTGGAACACGACATCACCCATACTCTTAATCCTCTCTTTCAAGGCCTGCTTTGCACGCTCCTGGATCAGTGAAGACATGTCAGGGACTTCGACATCGAGCCACTTCCCCGTGAAAATCTCCTGTTTCGGAGTCTCATCCGTGACTCTCACATGTTTCTTTTGCAAAAATTGACCAATCACAAGCTTGATCTCTTGTCTTGACCTTGCACTTGTATGGACTTGATAATTCAAATTGCGATCAAAACTGATCACAATCGGAATTGTACTAATCCCAAACTTGTTCAAAAGACTTGTATTGTTATCAAATGTGTATCTGATAACGATGGGGGTTTTGTGTAAGTCGAGAGTAACCTCAGCCCCTAAAAAACTCCCCGGTTTTTCGACCACCAAAAACCCAAATTGGGCCTCACTCCCGTCAAAGACTCGTTCAAGAGTGGACTGTTCGTAGGGTAACAAATTCGGGTAAAGCCCCCCTCGGTGCTCCCTTTGCTCGGTCACAAGCCTCTCGATGAGGTAATGTCGGTGGGCCACCACATCGTCGCCTTTTTGCACCGCCACGCCGAGGTTTTGGGGCCCGGGTTGGTACCCCTCGTGGAAGTACCTCAATGTGGGGTACGCCATGATCTCGTATTCGCGACAAATCGGTGTGTTCTCGTCGACTGAGCAATCCAAGGCTGCGATTTTCACCAAGTCGCTCCAGCCCTTCACATCGGTCGCGAGGGCTTTCCACGAGGGGGCGAAGCGCTGGCAGAAGCCGCACCAGCTGTTGTAGAACTCGACAAGCCAGGCGTGGTTGCTGCCCATTACTTGAGATTTGAAGTTGTGCACTGTGAGGATGACGACGTCGTCGTCGGGGGAGTAGAGACCTTGGCCTTCGAGAAATTGTTTGTATTTTTTTTGCTCGTAAATGGAGAGAGATGCGTTGTTCACGAGGTGGATTGACAGGGCGAGGATGAGGGCGAGTAGGGTGCACCGTCTTTGCATCTTGTTTTGAGGTTATAACCACACACGTCACTCACTACGTTCACGAATGTACTGAGAAAGGATTTTGATGGGATTTATAATTACGACGATAAGGAGCGAGCTTTGCTGCACTTTTATTGGTAATTCAATTATTTAAAGTGAATGAACTGACTGTTGTTTACGTACACAATTGTCATAATTTTGACAGATCAGGTTATGACAGCTGTTTAGAAAGTCGAAAGTGATACACTTTCCATACTTTTTTTTTGTAAAAATGATTAACATTGAATTAAAAGATATTGATTAGTTGATAATGATAGTAATTTGTCCAATAGCACAAATAAAGATTAGGAGTATAATAAGCGAGCGATAAAAATTGATAAATGACGGTGCCCAATTTATTAGGGGAAGCTGGGACAAAATAACCACGGTGCAACAAGGTGAGAGAAAGCACAGCAGCTAGAAAAAAAAAATGTAATAAAATAATTACATTTTTTTAAGTATTTTAAGTAAAACCAAATTTTAAAAAATGTATAATTTTATCGTATATGTGAATTTATTGCAAGTAAAGAATGAATAATTTAACTCTCTCAGAGCCTTTTGGGACTTTTCTTTATCTTTTCTTACGAAGGTTTTGATCAAAATTTGTTTATGGAAATTAGTTTTTGTATACATAAATTATTACATCAGATAGCGTACCACTACTGGCAGTTTCCTTTGATTCAATTTTTTAAAAATGCAATTTTAATATAATTTTTTTATTAATCCGCGAAGGTAATTTTGTGTTTTATTAGTAAAAGACGTTAAAATAAGCATCTAAGATTAAAAAAAAAACAGTTTTAATAATAATAAGCAAAATGTGCATAAAACCTAAAAAAGGGATAAATTGGAAACAGCACATCAAAAATTTGTTTGTTTCCATAGTAACAACGTTTTAGGCACAATAAGATTAAAATATGGCTCAAAATGCAGCGTTGTCAATTTGTGGTATTTTCAAATATTCATAATTTAATAAAATTATAAAAATAAATCACCAAAGAGACTCTCCGGTTTTTTTGAGTCACTGTGTATATGGAGCTGGTTTATAAGAAGTGGGGATATTTGCTATCGGTGTTCGGATTACAGAGGTTTAACTGTACTGAAAAAACGATGTACTTTCTTCATTAATATTGTTTATAGAACATCATAACTTTTAATCTAAATCTCGTAAATTAGTCGATTTTTATTAGCTAATAAACGATTTCTTGAATTTGATACAAATATACAAAATAATCATCTTCTTATTCTTAAAACAATGTTTTTAAAACGTTTTTATTTTGAAAACGAGTTACAGAATTTTTGTGACATTTTTTTCGAAATCATAATTCTAGAAATATTGACTTTACATAATTTGCTTTTGCTGATAATACGCTAATGTTTTTGCAAGCTTCTCATTTTTTCAATTATCGTTTGGCGGTCCTGAAATACCAATTAATTACAAAGAAAAGATAAAAACTGATAGCAGAGGCGAAAATGAAAAGAGATAAGGTAAGTTATTCCAATTTAGCAAATTTTCAATTTTCCAAAAAATCAAGACAATTAAGTTAGTGTTAAAAATCTAATAATACTTTTTATACTCGATTAAAACTTAACGAGAAGTAATTTCTATGAAATTGGTTCTGATTACATTAACGACACAGTAAATTTTGTTATTTGCATATTAATTTACTGCCTATACTACACAGAATATCCGAAAAAAAACGTTACAAAATTTCGGTGGTCTCTTTTTTCAATTATCAATTATCTCAGTTATGGGTTGAGATAAATTTACAAAATTTTGCATTCGGGGTAATTTTTTGGCCCTGAATCCATTAGCAAAGTCGCGGTAAGTTCATAGTGGCCACATCTCTGTGCAAATTTGTAAAAATTGTGTAAATCTGACTGCAATTGTTTTTTTAGGGAGATATCTACCAAAAGTAACAATTCTCTCGGGTTAGAATACTTCACATATAAAATCCATACTGCGCCTGTCACAATTAATGACACAGTTTAGTTACATGTGCTACCAACATAGACACAATCCGCCTACAAGAGGGGCTACCAACTGTGCAATAAATTAAATGGCCACTATAAATTGACCGCGACTTTCCTATAAAAAATAATTGTAATTTGGAAAACGTTGTACAATAAAATGTTAAAACGTTTTTAAAAGCAACCCACGTAATGAATTTATATAAAATCAAAATATCGTTCTAACTTCTTAAGAAATCATTTCTGGACATATGTCCATGGGAACTTTTTTTCTCTATTGACCTAAGGAATCAGCCCCTAAAATGATTTAACGCATTTTTCCGCCACCCTGTATAACTAAATCAAACACTAAATAATAACAAACTTTTAATAATTAAGTACACAGTATGAAGTTTCACAATAAATTAGTTAAAAAATACCTATAATGGTCACCGTGACGTGAATATTGCAGGTACTTGGTTACATGTATAACAAATAACTAAAAAATATTAGAAAAAAAGCGTCACTGCCTAAATAAATACAAGTTTAAACCAAAACATTTCATAATTTATTAAACTCTGGTCAATAACAACAATAACAGTTTTTACAGTTAGTTTTATTAGAAAAATTTCCACCTAAATCTAGAACATGCGTCGGATGTTAGTAAAAATCGATTACACCTAAAAGTCCCTCAAACATTGCTCTTACGCTAACTTAAAATCGAGGTCACACATTGCTCATACTCAAAATGAGCGCTTTCTTCAGGTTCGACTCGTCGTCATTCTCACACGAGAGACTCAACAAGAGGGCCTTTTGCAGCTCCTCGTCGTCGGTATTCGGGACTGAAGTCCCCACCTCCTGGCAGTCTTGACTGAGGCTCAATTTGAGGGCGGCTTGCAGCTCGGGGTCCTCCTCCGACGGCTGGGTGTTCAGCGTGGGTACCACGGGGTTGCTCCTGATGACCTCGTCGGCGGAACACTGGGGCAGCTCCCCGAAGACAACGAAATTCGAATAGCCCTCGTTTTTCAACTGGGCCAAAAACAACGCCAGATACGTGTCCGAAATGAGCACGGGCTTGGCCAAGAGCGAGTTGAGGTTGAACCACTGGTTCCCTATTTTGCGTATCGTGAACCAGTGGTTCTGGTAGTTGCAGATAAACGCTTGCATTTTGCTCGGATCGCGGTTTTTGACGCGCTCGTCGTCGGCGGTATAAGGCACGATTTCCAGCCCCCACACCTGCAGGGCTTTGCTTATGACTTGGATTGAGAAGTAGCCGCTGTCGTCCATGTTGCCTGAGGGCTGTTTGAGGAAGTTTCGGTACTCCTCGGAGTCTTCACCCGATTCGGCCATCCTGACACGTTCTTCCTCGTCCAGTTTCTCGGCCAAGATGCTCAAGTCCACGGCGGTGAAATAAGGGCCCTGGAGAAGGGAGTTGAGGCAGTGTTGGGCGCATAGAGAACCTTCTTGCTGAAAAGTGAGGTTAGGTTTGATCAAACCCCCAAAAGCTCACCTTCTCGTGGAAAATCGAGTCCATCGTCAAAGCGGGAGCACCCCAACCAAATCCATACAAATTTTTAGCACTTTTAGGTTAGGAGTAAAGTTGTGGTAAAAAATGCTGACATGGCTTGAATCAAGCCCAGGGAATGCACGAAACCGGGTCGGAATACTTGAACTTGTCCAAGTTTCGAAAAAATTCGAAAATTTCTCAAAAACGTAATGACAGTTTGGGAACTAAACAAAAATGAATTAATTATGTTAGGTTGGTAATGGCGCGTGGACCAATCAGAGCGCTTCGTTTTTGGTTCGTTTTGTTTTTCTCGATCATGTTGACATTCAACATGGCGGCATGTCGTCAGTGCTGTGCTGTGTCGTGGTGAGTTGAAATTTTTGTAAATTTTCGTATAATTAACATCAAAACCGCTACAAAAAGTACGTAATTTTCATTATTACCACCAATATGTTCGATTTCAGTTGTTTTATCCGCTTAAAATGGTAGTTTTTGTGCGAAACTTGTCCCTCTAACCCTTACTTGTTACATCTTTTGTGCGGTTCGATCTACGCAGTAATCTTCGGATTTAGGCTGTTGAGTCGACGGGGTGTTCCAATTGGGGGCTTTCGGGGCGGACGGGGCCGGCCCCGGCTTGGTTGTTGAAACTTTCAACAGACGGTTTGTAAGCAAATCAATAATTTGACCGTTGTTTTACCCCTTGCCCCAAATGCACATGGTTCTAAATCGGGAGCTATGTTAGCTAATGGGTGAAGCTGTGATAAACATTTGCCGTACCGGGGGCTATATTTAAATATTTTATTACGTCGAGTTTTCCAATTAACAACTTTTTCCCATTTTGTTTGTTTTTGTTTACATTGAGGCACTTCATTAACGAGCACTCATTTGTGAGTTAAAGAGGGCTATTGTGCCGCCGAAGCTAAAATATCACACTTTTTTAATTAAATTAGATCTGTTGTAATTACAAGGATACCATAATTACCGTCGAGCTTTGGATGGGAGTCGGCGCTCGATTCTATTGCCTTCAGTTTGTATTAATTTCTCTTGTTTTAATAAAAAAGCATGATCGTTTATCTAAAGTCATGGAAAATTTTACAGAGAATTACATTACCAACATGGAGTTTGTAAATACAACTTATTTTTAACGTCTTCACGTGTCGGCTCTTTTTGTCAATTATAAATAGAGACGGACGTCTCAGACTTGATGCTTTTACTAAAATTGTAATGTGACGAGTTACATTTGCGACAAAAAAAAATATAACATTCAGTTTCAACTAAAAAGAAATAGCGGTAAACATAGTAACCGTCGGGAGGAAAGTGTACCTTTCCTCCCTTAAGTTAAAGTCAGTAACCATCAAGGGAAGAAACGACAGTTTTCTTCAGTGTAATCATATAATTTTTTTCTACGACCCATCAAGAAAAACTTTAAAAGTAACAATTTCTTTTGAAATTTCAATATTACTATTAAATCTAGCCGTGTGTTTTTCGATGGAAGAAGTAAAATTTTTACTTCTCTGAGAGGTTACACAGGTGTCCCAGAATTTGCGAATTAGTGAAAAACGCAAAGTAAGATAAGATACCAGGAACATAAAAAAATGTTTAAAAAATTTTGTCTAGAAAAATTTTCAAATTATGTGGTTTTAAATTTTGTACTTTGATGCTATTTATTTTGGTTAGAAAAATAATTTCTCATATTTTTTACGGAATGCTATTAATAAAATTGTTACTTTATTTATCATTATTTGTGGCTTTTATTGGCAAAGTTTTTCCACCTTTACTGAATAATTATAAAAAAAAAAAAAACATATACAAGGTGATCGGTAACAATAAATAGACATAAGAAAGGTAAAATGTCAAAATTTGTTGACATATAATTTTTTAAACGTTTCGGGTATCTTATCTTACATCCTACTTGGCATTTTTCTTTTGTGGTGCGTGTTCTGGGACACCTTTGTGTATTTTTATAGTATTTTTGACAGAAGAGGGAAGTATTTTTTTATTTTTGAAGTGTAGTTGGCCACTTTTCTTTCTGAAATTTGGGTGGAATATTTTTTAAAAATCATCTTTTATTTAAAAAAATGTACTAAAAAGCAAAAAAAAAACAAAGCTTGTTCGGTCGACAGGAACTGTCTTAAACTAGACTCGCAAAATTTCGTGTAGACAAGAAAGTTAAAAGTTATGTCAAATTAAAATTTACGACACTTATAAAACAATGAATCAAATTGTTGTGGTTTGTGGTATTCAATAGTAAAGTTGTTTTGAAATGTAAGCTAATGAAAAAACTACGGATACCTAAAGTTTTCCATAGAAAAAACTTAAGGATAAACGACACATACCAGGTGAATAAAAAGTATGGAACCAAACGTTTTTTGTTTAAACAATTTATTTTTTGGAAAAAATTATTTGATGAATGGTAAAATATTATAAAAATATAATGTTTTATCAAGAATAAAATTTTTGAAAACTTTCTAAAAAAACATTTTTCTCATGAAGGTCATGTAAGGATTACAACTATAAATTTTATATTTAATTTTTTGAATTTTTTTTTACATCAATTGCAATTTTGACAAATAAAGAACGCATAGCTAAAAAACAAAACAAAATTTCGTTCTCAAAATAGAATCACATTTTTTATATTACTTTAATTTATATTAATTATTATTTTCTGGGGGCAAATGATTAAAAAAAAAAACTGCTTGGTTCCATACTTTATATTCACCCTGTATAACTTTTGGACAGAGTTAAATAACATAAGCTATAAATAGTTAATGTTTTTTAGGATTACAATGGCTTATTTAATTTGTTATATTTTTTTTTTTGTATATTTTCGAAAAAAGAGAGTTTTTACCTATAATTTTTTATTACTCCGCCGAATTTTTATCCTTTTAGAAGTTGGAAAATACGTCACTACATTCCCTGGTCGGAAAATATGAAAGTTGTCAATCAAATGTCAAAAACGCAATTTGTTTGCATATTAACTATATTAAAGTACCAACAAAATAGCTGTCTCTCGGTCAGATCACCTGAGCCCTCGAGGTAATTAAATATTTCTCACTACGGTTGTAATATACTATTCTATTATAAAAATATATTTGAGTATATCTTTATGAAATGAATGAATTATAAAAACGTTAAAATTAGCAAAAAGAAAATAAACAAAGATTGTGTTTTCGCGTAATTTTATATTTTTACATTAGTTATCAAGTTTACGATTAATTTCAATTAGTGATTTTAATGCTATAAACCTAAGGTATATCAAAATTTTCTAGAGAAATTCGTCGAAGGTTTAATTTATTGCAGATATTAAAAAAACAAATATTAGTTGTGAAATATCGAGGTTATCGTTGCCGGATTCGCAAATTACACAAATCACTCGGTGCTGAAATTAAAAACCGAGCAGAAGTTTTCTTAATTATTTAAACAAATGTAGACTCTATCGAGCGTTAAATTAGACCAGACGCAAGCTTTGATGAGGAGGGTAAAAAAAAATAAGTTAAAATTATAACCTTGAGGCACTTTTGGAGATTTTAATTGGGGGAGTTCGAAGGTTATTCATGAACTTTTTCATTGTGTGGACAAAAGTAATTACAAAATGTTGTTTTAAACGAAGAGTTTTCAATTGTAGGTGATTTGTTGTGATATTATATAAATAAAACTTAAAATTGTCGGCTTATTTACAATCAGAAATTGCGTGATATTACTTTAAAACAGGATAAAAGTCATTTAAATGTCATTTAATTAAGCCTCGTTCGTCGTTCGCTCGATACAATACTCCCCTTTGCATTTCTCTCGTCATTTTAATAATCTTCATTAGCGTTCAGTCTGCGGTCCGATCTCATTTGGCATTGTTTCAGATTTTAACCCGAAATTTATAAACAAAGGAAATGAGTTAATAAATTTACGTTGGTCATTTTTCCTCCTCTTATATGAAATCTATATTAACGGTAGGAATTAATTATTCTGTTTACGGTTTTAGCCAAATTGAAACTTGCGGAAAATAATTACCATCAAGTACCCAATCGAGTAAATTAATCGAGGCCACACTTGATAATAATAATAATAATAATAATAATCAACAAAATAGATGAGATTATTTGTGCATTGGTGGTTGGAATTTTTAAATCGTTGAAAACCTCCACCAAACAAAATCAATATTGATTCATTAGTTGAAAAAATAAATGGTGCTAATAGAGGGATGATTGACAGGAGTTTTATTAAAACTAAAAATAGTCACACATCGGAATGAAATCTTTGCCTGGATTTGATTGTTAATTTTTTAGTGACGTCGTTTGTAATAAAGACGTAACGTAATGGGAATGGAAATTTTAGGATTATTTATTGCCATTACTTGAAGATTTTCTGAGATTTACACTCATAAATTCTAAAAAAATGAGCTTCGTTTTTATCCTTGTTGGGTAATCAGCTGAGTGTGCAGTGTTCCTTTATCATTTACCACCAGTTGTCGCATAAAAAAAACAAAGTTAGGCAATTTCTTTTATTTGGTTTAGATGTTTCCTCGGTAATTTCCGTTTTCATAACCTACGAATAAATTTCGTCATGTTTTAAGGGTCTTATTACGTCGATATCTTTCTTTTTTTATTATTTGAAAGGTACTTGGAGGCACGCTTTCAATTCCAATTTTTTCCGCTTAGTTTGTTAATATCGATTTGTTAGAAACAAATGTGATGCAAGGACGTTTTTTACTTTATCCTGGATTTGAAACTATGAAATCAACAGCGATAAAAATTTAAAAAGAGACACTTCAATGTTGTTATTTTTCTCAAAAAAGAAAAGCTTAAAAATACGTTAGATAATACAAGTCAAGGTCGTATTTTATCGAAACATCCACAAATAAATAACTTGGTGGTTTGTGGATGTTATCTGGTGCAGTGATATAAATATTAGCACGTTTTTGTAACACGAGTAATATAAAAATTAAAATAATGCTTATAAAATATGATCATTTGAATAATTTTGTACGCAGTTGATAATGGGATTTTTTCAAGTTTTTAATAGTCGTAAATGTGTATTTTACCTTTTAATTCAAATACGTTACATCACTGAATTCAGCAAAAATGCACTTTTACGGAATATTATTTTTTTTTAATTTCTTGAGGGGAAAACCAGGAAATGGGAAATGATAACAATCCGGAAAAACAATTGTCAATTCATTATTAAATAATATAGCTTCCCAAAAGATGTTTAATTTAGAAATCACTGAAATAAAAAAAATGTGTTTTATTCAATCCTCTATGTTAAAAATGAATTTTATTTACTCTTTTCTTCATGTTAAAATGAAATTTTATCTAGATGATAAAAAAATACATCCATTGTTGTATATCTGTGGTTGTTAGTTGCTAACGATCTTTGACATTAGATTTCATTGTTGAATTTTATTATAAATATTATAAATATAAATATTATAAATATTTATTATAAATATCGACCAAATTGACTACAAAATTAGTGAGGATTGAATAAAATTTTATATTGTACACGACGATAAAATTTTCATTATCTTTTCGAGCATATTAGCGTCTCAACGCTAAATTGCTCTCAAAGATAAAATTCAATTTTATCGTCTTGTATAATAAATAACTGTATTTTTTTTTATTTGCACAACTATCTGGATTTATGTCATACTATATTTAAAAAATGATATTGTAAATGTTTATATTTTAGTAAAAAAAGGTTAAACACTCGATTATTTATTGAAAAATTTCATATTTTTATAATTCATTCAGTGCGTGTTAAAATTTAAAGTTTGTATTAAAAAATAATATTGAAAATGTTTTTGTTTTAGTGAAAAAGGTTAAACAACTCAATTATTTATTGAAAAATTTTATTTTATATTTATATAATTCATCCAGTGCGGGTTAAAATAGTGAGTAAAAATTGTTGGTTTCTACTAGTTTTTGAGGTGCTTTCGTGTAGTCTTAATTATACACGTATGTGAAAAAGTGTTACTAATGTCGATTTGTTCTTTTTTCAGCTTGTGTAACTAAGAAAACCTTCAAAATTAGCATAGAAAATTTAAAGTAAACCAGTATCAGCGCAACCACTGGCCTTGACAAATTATGAGCATAACAGCACAATACGCACCCAGCACGCATTGAAGACATCTGAGGATTTTTTTATTTATATATTCTGTTATAATTAAATTTTGAGTGACTGTGGATAGTAATTTTTATACATATTGGATTGTTTTTCTAGTAACATTGTAATAACGATATATTATTGTGAAGTTTGTTGAACATATATTGTACCTTTGTGACTTGGTTTCAAAGTAGGAGTGATAATTTTATTAGTACGGTCTCGGCTGCCATAATTGACTTTTGTGGGGTATTTACATATACCACTAACCATTCTGTGATATTCACTACACTTAAGAAACGATAAGAAGTGAAAAGATAAATCATTGTACTGATAGACTATGTCCACGAATCCTCAGTGGAAATCCTTCCAGCCGCCCGACACCATGAATCAAGACTCTGCCATCATCGATTTCAAACCTATGACCAGCAACGGTAATTTTAACCAAGTTTGAAATAATCGTTGTAAAAAAAAAGCCACCAATTGATTACAGGCAAAGCATCTTCTCAAGCATTTAATTTTACAAATCGCTCCACATCAAATTCACGGTTCGGGCAAGACTTTCCTTTGCTACAGGACAAGTCTTCTTCATTCAGCAACGGTCTGTACGGATCGTCGAGTACCACCCATACAAATTCTCGTTTCCCGATTGGTACATTCTCGCTCGATTCGAATAACATGTTCAACAGTAGCGGAGACAGCACCCTCACCAACAACGTTTTCTCAAACGGAAACAACAGCAGCTACAACGATTCCAACTCCTCGAATTTGGGCACCAGAGAAACGGGCATCATCGAAAAGCTGCTGGTAAACATGATGTCACATTTATAAACACACGTCGGTGCGCAAATTAACATAAAAGACACACAAACAGGCTGTGATTTGATATTGATTTATCGAGAGCTTTTAGCGGGGTTTTCAGACACTTCTGGTAGTGTTAGGTACTTGCAACAGCGAGATAAATGCGATTTTCTAGCGTGATTTTTATATTCCCACAATTTTATTTATTTAAAAAGTACAATTTAGTTGAAATAATTTAATTTTTTACTACAATTTCTGTTGTTGGAGCTTTTGTTTTGTCAATATAAACGTTAATAAACGTATAAACGTAAACCACATAATTATGTGTGATACTACTACATTTAAATTTTTTATCTTTGTTATTATTTTTTATTACGAACTATAAAAAAATAGTAAAACGGTAGGGTGATTTTAAAAAACGACAGGCGCTGTAGAATTTTTATTTATAGCCCGATTTCAGAAATTAAAAAATTAAATTAAATAGATTTTAATTAGTACCCTGCGATCAAAAAAAAATAAAAAATAAATTAGAGTAGGCGGTGATTAAAGTCTTTCAGATGGCAATCCTGATTTTTGACATCAAATGTCAGCGGAAACTTTGACAAGTGTGCGTTTTATTCATTTAGAGCAGAAATTTTTTATTGTTGCAAGTTATTACAAAAATGCTGTACAAGAAGTAAATAGTGGTTGGTCATTTTCAACTTCAGTTTGTGTGAAAATTTTCCAGCCCAGATTCCCAGCCAACGTGTTACCAACTGTGGAATAGTAATCGTCGCCTACTCTAATTTATTTATTTCTTTGATCGCACGGTACAGTTAGAGACAAAATACTTTGGTCGTCAATGTCACTTGAGTGACATTAAATTGTAAAGCATGCTTTAGGACTGTTAACCTTATTTTTAGCTACTGTCAATCATAGTTGACAAGTTTTTGATAGGAAAATGTAATTGCTGTCATTAATTTAAAATTGTCATTCATTTTAACGTAAAAGCTTGAATTACATTAAAGTGTCAGAAAAGTGACGACCAAAGTATTTTGTCTCCAAACTGTATTAACTGACAATTTTAGATTTTTTCAAAATGTTATAGTATGTTTTAACTTTTTAATTTGTCTCAATTTTTTTTATAATCTTGAAGATATTATTAGTTCTTTTTGTACAGACTTGTGCACTTTGTTCTGATTTTACCAAAAAGTTTTGTTTAAAAAAATTATTAAAGCTGAAAAAAATAAAGAATAAAAGTTAAGATAATCTAGTTGCACGGTGTCAATAAAAAATTTACGTCAACAATAATCTTATTAAAAGCAAACAAAATAAATAAATAATAAAATAAATTAATAACACATAATTAGATGTTTTTGATTTGTTATAGATCATTTTTATTGTCACTTCGTATAAAAAATTTGAAAAAATATTGGCAATTTTTTTTCCTTTGCTACTTTTTGACACCACCATAACTGGATTTTTTTTTTCAACTTTGATATTTTTTTTGAACAATAATTTTTAGTAAAGGTACAACATTATGCACTTGTCTGTACCAAATAATGAAGACAAAAATGTAGGTCCCAATTTAAAATTAGAATGTTGAATATAGTCCAGAAAACTTCTAAAATTGTAAAAAAAGTGTTATGTACTGGCAACAGCGAGAAAAATATATTTTTTTAAACTGATGTTTAAGGTGTCAAAAAGAATATAACTAGGTTTTTAGAGCTTGTTTCAGTATAATTATTTAATTATTTAAAAAGTACAGTTTAGTTGAAATAATTTCATTTGTCTAAAAAAAAGTTAGGTACTGGTAAGAGAGATAAATATATTTTATCCACAATCACTCTATAAGAGACTTTATTCCACACTTTAGGTGCGTATAAAGTACCACTTTATCTACTAGTGGAATAAAGTAACTTTATTCCACTGTTAGTAACCAGCGCACCGCGTAACAGCTTACTACGTTTAACCGAAAGCACATTTGGCGTGACGTTTAAATGTCAGTTTAATTTTTAATTAAGTTTGGAATAATTTGGGCCTGTGATTGTGGATAAAACGTTATATTGCAGTCGTGTGTTAGTCTCGTTTTATCCACGCAAGAATGTTTAACGGCGTGAACGTCAGTTCGTCAGTTACAATAAATAGCTATTTTTAAACTGATGTTTAAGGTATCAAAAAGAATATTACCTGGTTTTTAGAGCTTCTTTCAGTATATTTGGATTGTTAAAAAATATTTCGACTATCTTAATTATTTAAAAAGTACAGTTTAGTTGAAATAATTTCATTTTTTACTACAATTTCTGTTGTTAGAGGTTTTGTTTTGTTAATTAGTCAACATAAACGTTAAATTAAAGGAAAATTGCCTTGTTTATAAATGTGTTAAACAGGTAACTTAAAAAATTAAATAAGGTAAACCTGATTTTGTATGGTACTACTAAAATTAAATTTTTATCTTTGTTTTTATTTTTTATTACGAACTAGTAAAACACAAATAAGTTTAGATCATTCTGGTGATTATTTGACATTTCCATTTCGTATTGACGCGAGCCTTTTTTTACTAAAACGTTTGCAACTTTTTGTATTAAAATCAGGTAACACAGCTTCGCGATTTCGTAATGATAAGGTGAGAGGATCGCGATAATAGTGTGAACAGTGAGCTGTTATTTCAATTGTTTCTTTTTTTTTTTCCTAGCACTCTTACGGCTTCATTCAGTGCTGCGAACGACAGGCCCGTCTGTTTTTCCATTTTAGTCAGTTCAGTGGTAACATTGAACATTTGAAAATTGGCGATCCGGTGGAATTTGAAATGACGTATGACCGACGTACCGGTAAACCAATAGCCAGTGCCGTGACAAAAATAGCACCGGAAGTAGTGAGTCGTGTTTTTATTTCCTTCTTTTTAACAAAACTAATTCTGTTCCGGTTCAATAGGTTATGAGCGAAGAAAGGGTAACCGGAACGGTTACAACCGAACTTCGAGGTGAAGGTTCCGGTGGAGATTCAACTGGGAGGATCAGTTATGAAAATCGAGGTGAATGTTTCTTTCTACCCTACACCAAAGACGACGTGGAAGGTAACGTCACGTTGAGAGCGGGGGATAAAGTCAGTTTTCAGATAGCGACGAATAATAGGTTTGTTTCTTGGAGAAGGTGAAAAAAAAAATTGATTTTGTTATTCTTAGGGGTAACTTGGGGGCGTGTCATGTGCGTCTAGAGAACCCTGCACACCCAGTGAAGTATCAAGGGGTCGTATGTTCGATGAAGGAAAGTTTCGGTTTCATCGAAAGAGCAGATGTCGTTAAAGAGATCTTCTTCCATTTTTCCGAAGCGAAAACCAAAGAGGAGTTACGATTGGGCGATGACGTTGAATTTACCATTCAAACTCGCAACGGTAAAGAAGTCGCATGTAATATAACGCGTTTACCGTCAGGCACCGTCATCTTCGAGGACCTCAAGCCCGAGATTCTCAAAGGTCAGGTTTTGAAACCGCTCGATCGTGGCCCCAATGCACGTCATCAAACTGACGCCCTCCCGGGACGTATCCGATATCGCGCTCCCGACCACTCCGAAGTGGAGATCTCCTTCGGCGATAAGGACCAACGTGGTGATTTTACTCTTCGTCACGGCGATTGGGTGCAGTTTAAAATCGCAACAGATCGCAGAGATGGACTCAATAGAGCCACACACATTTCGCTTTTGGATGAGAGTTTTCTGGTGTCGGGCGAGAAGAGAGAACAAGGAGTTGTCGCATCGGTGAAGGAAGGATTTGGATTTTTGAAGTGTGTTGAACGCGAGGCCAGATTATTTTTCCATTTCAATGAGATTTTAGACGTGGATAGGGAAGTGGTGGTGAATGACGAGTATGAATTTACCGTCGTACAGGATCAGACAAGTACGTTTTCGAATAATCGACAAAGTGCCATTAGAATGAAGTGGTTGCCGCACGGAACTGTGCAGTTCGAGACGAGAGTTGAGAATGATTTGACGGGGATTGTATTTAAAGAGATTCCGACGACGACATGGTTGAATAGGAGTCCCACCAAAAATCAAAATGGAGAACATGCTCCCGAATCGGGATTGATCACTTATCAAGCGAACGGAGTCAAAAAGACTATACCATTCTACTCGAAAGATTGTGATATGAAGAATTACCCGAGACTTGGAGATAAGGTAAGAATTTTAATCATTATAAGTTTACCAATTTACACAATAATTAAAAAAAAAACACATTTGAACGAAACTGTTACTTTTTTGCTTTCTAATTCCAGGATATTCTCTCTAGACAAGACCAAGTGTCAAGTTTTGTAAAATTACCAAACACAAATTGTGGTTTTTCTTCTGCAATTATAGACTCTTATAGTTAAAATATTAATTTTCTACAAGAGAATTTGAGAAATAAAAATGTTATCTAAAACACAATTAATTACTATTCATAATTTAATAAATACCTACTGTTGCACTCAAAAATCACACACTTCACTTTGCAAAAAAGAAAAAAGAAAATACAATGCACTAACCTTTATGGCATCTTCTTTTGCTACACTAATGGGCCTCTGCTTCTTACACGGATCTACTGAAAATAAAGAAACACAAAATCAGTTCAATGTGTTATTAAAACAGTTGAAAATATTAAATAAAATTTAAAAAATGTAAGTTTAAAAAAAAATTAAAAGTCATTGTTGACTACCTTTTAATTCAGACCCTTGTAGCACGATTGTCTTCTCCATTTTTCCCATTAGCACTCACTAATTACCCGAAATTTTTAAAATCGCGCATTACTAAATGTCTATTAGGCACTCGAAAAAACACAACACGCACTTACTGGTCATTGAAGTTTCTGAAACAAAACAAAAATTACCATTTATTCTGGAAGAAGTGTAATTCGTACAATACTTAATCTTGTTCTAACCGCTGTTTCTTTACGACATAAAAAGTATGAAGTAAATTTGCACTCATCTTCTACAAATTTTGAAAAAGAAATAATAATACATTTTGTCTAAAACACAATTAATTTCTATTCATGATTTAATAAATATTTACTGTTGCACTCAAAAATCACATATACACTTCACTTTAAAAATTTAAAAAATAAAATGCACTAACCTTTATGGCATCTTCTTCTGTTACCCTTTATCGCAATTTGCCTCTGCTTCTTACACGGAACTACTAAAAATAAAGAAACACAAAATCAGTTCAATGTGTTATTCTAACAGTTGAAAATATTAAATAAAATTTAAAAAGTGTAAGTTTTCTAAAAAAACTAAAAGTTATTGTTGACACCCTTTAATCCGGACCCTTGTAACACCATTGTCTTCTCCATTTCCCCCATTGACACTCGAAATTTTAAAAATCGCGCACTACTAAATGTTTATTAGGCACCCGAAAAAAGACAACTCGCACTAACTGGTCATTGAAGATTCTGAAACAAAACAAAAGTTCCATTTATTTTGGAAAAATATTAACTTCGTACAATACTTAGTCTTGTTCTTGCTGATGTTTCTTTATTACATAAAAAGTACAAAGTAAATTTGCACTCATCTTCTTCAAATTTTGAAAAAGAATTTGGCAATAATAAATAATTTTATCTCAAACACAATTAATTTCTATTCATAATTTAATAAATACTTACTGTTGCACTCAAAAATCACAAATTTACACACTTCACTTGGCGATAAACAAAAAAATAAAATGCACTAACCTTTATGGCATCTTCTTCTGCTACCCTTTGTCCCAATTTGCCTCTGCTTCTTACACGGACCTACTGAAAATAAAGAAACTCAAAATTAGTTTAATGTGTTATTAAATTAGTTGAAAATATTGGATACAAACAATTTAAATAAAAAATTAAAAGTTATTGTTGACTTACTCTTTCATCCGGACCTCTGTAGCACGATTGTCTTGTCCATTTCCCCATTGGCACTCACTAATCACTCGAAATTTCTAAAACCGCGTCTATTAGGCATCCGAAAATACCCAACACGCACGCATTCATAATACAGGCCCCATTTTTACACAGTTTTGCACTGAACCACCAAATAATTAATATTTTATGCGGATAATTATTACAATTGAAGTAACTCGTACGGGAGCTTGACTAAGACTGATTCGTTATTGTAATAATTTCCTTAAAAACGGCACAAAAACCATTTCGTAACAATTCCGGTGTAAAAGGTTTTTGTTCGGGGCTGCATAATCCCGCCCATTCGCAACGTCACAAAATAATTCGAATATTACACAATTACACGTTTATCATTTTTTGCGCCCTTTACAATCGTACGATTAAACAATCCGAATTTTGTCTGTTACTTTTCTTTTTCAAACATCAAATTAATAGAGAATTAAAATTTTATTGCAATTAAGAATGTTTCTGTAAATACTTTTTCAAAATGAAAATTTGTAATTAAGATAATAATATTCTATAAAGTCGCGGTCAATTCATAGTGGCCACTTCCCTGTGTAAATTTGTAAAAATTGAGTTGTGTAAATCCGACGTTAAACATCCAATTGTTTTTTTTTTAGTGACAGTTATCAAAAATGACAATTCTAAAAAAGTCGGGTTAGAATACTTCACATATAAAATCTATTGCCCCTGTCACAATTATTGACATTTTTTCGACCAACTTTGACAAAACCCACACAATAGAAGTGGCGGGCTAAGTGCTGCCAACTTTGAGATAAATTAAATGGCCACTATGAATTGACCGCGACTTTAGATAAAATAATTCTAATTCAAATTCCGTTTGTTTTAGGTCGAATTTAACGTAAATCAGGTGAAGAGAAACAAAGAGTTGATAGCAGTTGACATTCAAGTGGTGCAACCGGCCACACAAACCAATGGAATTAAACATAGAATTAGCAACAATTGTCAAATATACCAGGGTTTCATAGCAGCGTTGAAAGACGGTTTTGGATTCATTGAAACGATTCAACATGATAAAGAAGTCTTTTTCCATTTTAGGTGAGCTAAAATTCGTTTTTTTGTCTCTCGGTTATTTTTTTTTCGTAGCAATTTCGAAGGTGAGCCCAACAGTCTAGAACTGGGCCAAGAAGTTGAGTACAACTTGGGTAGTCGCGGCAATTCGGGCACGTGTTCTTCAGCCGAAAACGTAAAAATAATACCGAAAGGTACGATCAATTTACCGCCGGTCATAGGCGATGTTCTCGATGGAACTGTAGTACGTCCTCTGCGTTCGGTAAATCCCGATCAGACGGAATACTCTGGTTTGATTCGAATAAAAACGGAAGATCCCGAAGAGAAAGCGCTGGAATATGAATTCGGCATAATGGGACTTGTGAATAAACGAGAATTGTTACAAGTGGGAGACCACGTGCAATTACAAGTGGATTCGACAGGCAGGGCTGCCAATATTATTGCTGTACGAAAGAAATTACGAGCGACAGTGGATGCTATCAAGGGTCATTTCGGTTTTCTGGCTTATGAGGTGGAAGAGGGGAAAAAGCTGTTCTTCCACATGACGGAAGTTAAGGATAATGTCAATTTGCAAGTTGGCGACACTGTCGAATTTGTACTTGTTACCAATCATAGGAGTGGCAAGTCTTCGGCTTGTAGTGTAGTGAAAGTCAGGTGAGGTGATGTTAAGTTAAGGGGGAGGCAAAAGTTTAATTTTTGTTTTTGTTTTTCAGTGATGTGCAAGCGCGACCAGAGCGGTTGATTAGTAGACTGCGTACAGTTTCCGTGGACGATGCGGGTCCGAAGTTGACGGTTTTGCGTCAGCCGAAAGGTCCCGACGGCTCTAAGGGTTTCTCATCTGAGGCACGTGTCATACGTGTGCCAGGAATCGTTGTCGAATAACGAGAGTCATTCTCATTCATGTCATACTACCGTAGCAACTAACTTACTCTTGTCTTAGCAGTGGAGTTGGCTAAAATGTATTTTACATAAGTCCTATTACGTATGGTTATTAAATTATTGATAAATTGCAAAATTGTTATGGTAAACTAGGGCAAGGAAAAACCTTTTCGGTTGTATTACACACCAATATTAGTCGTAGCTATGTTCATACATGTTGAATTGAACAAAGTCGTTCGCAGTTTTACTGTGCTTAAAACACTGCTTACAAACCAAAAAAATTTAAAAAAAGTTGATAATCCATTGACAAATATGAATACAATGAATTTATTATTAGGATACAGAGTTAAGGTATTAGATTATGATCTAGAGAAGACTGCATCGATAAGTAAACTCTACATTATAAGACCTTTTGTAACTTTTATTTAGACTCCATTTAGGTGTAATGTTAGTTTGCAGTCTCTGCAGTACCCGCAACATCCCATATTTGTAATGGATCTAGTTGGTGTGTCTCAGCCTTCATTCTTCGCTTTTCTTCTGTGATAATCACAAGTCTCGTAGTTTCCTCTTGATTATAGTGCCTAAATTTTACGCAAGTTTGGTTTATTTTATTTTTTTTAAACACTTGAATGTGACTTTTTTTTACAAATGTTGATGTGGGTACTGTGATGCAGTTTTTCAAATTAACTACAATATTAAATGTGGATTATCTTTCTATTTGTAAATTATTGTTTTAATTTCAAAGGAAATATACTAAGTAATACTATTAAAAAAACGCTTTTTATTTAAAAGTACAATACAGAGGCACGTCGTCATATTTCTATACATTCGTAGGGGAACACCGCGTCAGTGGGGCCAACCCCGGGCGTGGGACATGCTAGAAAAAAACAATTTAGTTTTGTCAACAATTTTATCGAACTAGGAAAATCATTGAGCAAGTTTCACTTGTTAAAAACCATTTGAATGTGGTTGTTGTCGTGTCAAAGGTTATCAGTACCTCTGCTACATCGTAGTCCGAAATAGCCCGTTCCCTCACATCTGCACTTGTATTTGGGCCGTTGCGAAATCTGGATGCAGGAGCCCCCATGCAGGCACGGATTGGGGTTACAGATGTCGCGTCTCTTGCCTGGAAATGTGCCATTAGCGCATCGTGGAAACGTGGAAATAATCACCTCGAAGGGCGTTCTGGCACTCCGCCATCGTGTCGTAACGATACTCAGATATGCAGCCGAACCCACAGGAACATGCTTTGTTCTGTATGCGACACCCTTGCTTAGTCTGGTCCATATCACAGGCCGTGCAGAGTTCCAGGCCTGAAAGATAACGATTTCATTGATAAAATCCCAAATTTCGACACTTACCTAAAACAAACACCACAATAACTCCAATCAGCATTTTGGTCCCACTATACGCGAGGGAAGGTTACCAGCGACTAAGAGCGTCCCTCTTGTGATAAGAGAGTCGTTGGCCTCTGCTTCCCACTCTCCTGATAATGCCGGGCTTGTTCTTAAGTAAAGCAACATTAAAATAGAAAAGACTTTTATTACGTCTAAAAATAATACAAATCGTAAATCTAGAGGCGGAAATGAGTTCGGTAGTCTCTTCCGCTGGGGATGGCCCCCTGGAGGCGCATCCTCCGCACTGCCTCTCGCAGGTGCTTGGGTTGCAAAGGGCCCGATTCGGACTGTTCTTCCATCACGTCCAGAGCTGGAAAAGCCAATTTTGGTCAGGTTTTTTATCCAAATGGTTAAACTTCTGGCGGTCATAAGTTCAAAACTATCTATTTTGTTTGTAAATAATGACTTAAAATTTCCTTTGACGATCTTAAAATAAATATTTATTTCAATGCTACGATTATCGCTGCAACATTGTAAAAAATAAACGGTGCATCAATTTTTTTTAATAAAAGTTACATTTTGCATTACGAAATTTGTTTAAAAACATTTCCAAGTTTGTTCAATTTGTCTACACCTTTTTAAGCCTAATTCAGAACCATCACATGTAATTCGGATTATTAATCAATTTAATTTCAGAAAACGTAAATTCAGAGTAACTTACTGTTAACGTGTTATCTCAAAATGATGGTTACACATAAACACGAATTATTTCATTTTCAAAATTAATCAATTACATAAATACAGTATTTGACAAAATAAATAAGATATTTTGTTTTCCAAGGACATCCGGAAGTAGTTAAGTTATTTTTAAATGTTGTATTAATTTTAACAAAATCTCTGTGTTAACACTGATTTTATTAGTTCTAATTTTATTACATACTATTTTTTTTACATTTCCGAACCAATGATTCTGAACTTGGGGAAAAACACATTTGGCATTTTTTTCAACAATTTGTATGTTTGTTTTTTGTTGATATTATTTCACTTTTTTGGTAATTTTTTTTCGAAAACTTGTATGTAATATTTAATATTTCGACAATTAAAAAATCTATCGAACCAGCTAAAATGAATTAAGAGTTTTCATTAAAAAAAATGTCGATGACGTTATTACTCAAAAACCAAATAGCGTAAAAATTTAAATTAAGTTAAAAATTGTGTATGTATTTTTTAACAGAAAACTTGACCTGTTCGAGCATTTTTGCCAAAATAAAATATTGTTTTAGCATTTTATTGTTTAGCTTTTAAATCCAAATGTAAAAATTTATTCAATATTTTAACACGAAAAATTCAAAACATTAGCTATAAAATGAAATACAGAGTGTTTACGGTCTTGTGGTCGAAATTTAAATGAGATGATATTCACGCCGGGTATTAATTTTAACAAAATCTCTGTGTTAACACTGATTTTATTAGTTCTAATTTGATTACATACTAATTTTTTTTACATTTCCGAACCAATAATTCTGAACTTGGGGAAAAACACATTTGGCTTTTAGGTAATTAATAATAATAAAATAATGAAAAGGAGTCCTATGACATTTTTTTCAACAATTATGAAAATTAAAAAAACCCAATTTCATTTTATTAAATGTTTTATCTCGTTGGAAGCTGAGCAAAATTAGATTTTTGAGATCAACGAATCTTAGAATTATATAAAAAAAATTCTAAGTAATTACGGAAAAATCGATTTTCATAATGAAACGGAAATATTTAAAAAAATGTATACAGGGTGAATATAAAGTATTGAACCAAGTGTTTTTTTTAATCATTTGCCTCCAGAAAATAATTAACATAAATTAAAATAATATAATTATGTATATGACCTTTATTGACAATAAACATTATTATTATTATAAAAAAATGTGATTGTTTTTGAGAACGAGACTTTATTTTGCTTTTGAGTTATGCGATCTTTTTTGTCAAAATTGCAATTTATGTAATTTTTTTTAAATGAAATATGTATAAAGTAGATAGTTGTAATTCTTAGATCATAACCTTCATGAGAAAAATAATTTTATATTAAAAAAAATTGTAGAACCCAAAAAGAAAAGAAAATTACGAAAATTTTTATTCTTGATAAAATGTCACATTTTTATAGTACTTTATCATTCATCAATTAGTTTTTCCAAAAAATAAATAGTTTAAGCAAAAAACGTTTCGTTCAATACTTTTTATGCATCTGGTATGTAATTGAAATATGCAGTGCAAAACCGTAAAAATGACTAAGAAAATGTAAATGAAGAAATTGTAGAGAATTAAATCCTCTACAAATGGGGATAAACAAATTTTTTCTTTTATCAACGGCCCTGAAATGGTTAAAGTTGCAGATTTTTCAACATTATATTTTGTCAGAATTAACAAATAGTGAATAGTTTCAGATGTATAAATTGTATTGTAAAAACAAGCAAATTACAAAATTAAATAACCTAAAGAAGATTAACATTTAAGATTAAGAAAGTAAAAGTGAAAATTCAAGAGTTTAAAAGGCGAACATTATGAAAGTTTATTTGTAAAATGTAAAAATCAACGATTGCTGATGAAAAAAGTGTATTATGCAATGAGTCTATAAAAATCACGAAATTTTAGAAACACATCCCGAATGTGGTAATAAAATTACTAATTTAGTTAAAAAATGTGTAACAAAATTTGTTAATATTATTGAACGATTACTCAAAAGTGTTTACGAATAAAATTATATACAACGAAAGCGTTTAAGAGTATTTTTTACTAGAAGTTTTGCTTATTTTTTTTATCATAAGTAAATTGTATTGTATAATAATTACTAGCGTTTATTATTTTATTTATAGTAAGTATTTCAAAAGTTGACTAAACTCATATGATAGTTTTTTGTAATCTCTTACGCCAAATCATGTATTTTTGAACAAAATACAATTAATTAAATGACAAAAAATAATACATATTGTAGAAAAGAATTTGCGATTATTTAACTGAATCTCGGTTATTTATTTCACCTCATTTTTTAGCCTTGTTTGAAGTACTTTGTGGGATTATAATTCATAATTATATGTTTAAAATTTTAAAAAAGTTGCTCGTAACAAATTATTAGTTAAGAATTGGATAATTCTTTTGGGCTCTTTTTTCTCACCTTCCTCCACCACCTCGCCCACAAAAACCTTCGCAATTCCGGCCATCGCAATCACCACATTCTGCGAGACCGAGCACCCCGTAATGGTTTGCATCAGCCTCTTAATTGCAGCTTTGGGGAACGCCGACCTCCTGTACATTTCATACCGATCCAATTGGTCCTCGGTGAAATTCGAAACTAGAACCCTTAGAAAAATCACCAGTGAGCCCCACACTCCCCCCAGGACTCTACTCACTGCATTTTCTCCCGCTCTTCCTCCTCCATCTCCTTCTTCGTCTTCACCTCTTTCTTCTTAACCGGAACACTGGTGGTATTTTGGGGGGCTTCCGGCATTATTATATCCGATTCCAGGTAGGTATTTTCGTCCTTGATGTGAATTTCGGACGATTCGAGTTCGGTTTTAACTGTCTCAACAGTGGAGTCGTCGTCTTCGTCCATGGACTCGTAATTGGGGTCCGCTTTGATGATTTGACTCGTCGAAGCTGGGGGCTTCGCAAAAATCTGGTCCATCTTTGTGTTTTTAACAATTTCACATTTTTTATTTTAAAATGAAGTGAGGTTATGTTGATATTTTGACAGAAGATGCGCCCTCTGGTGGTGGCCAAGCGCCAACTTTGTAGTAGCTTGGAAATCCGGGGTGGCGCTAGTGTCGAATTTCAGTCAATATATCACGTTCATATTTGACAATAATTTTGTTTATTGTGTCTAAAATAAAGCAAAGTAAATTTGAATTTGAAGAGTAATTTGCAGTGATAAAAAATTGTGATATTGTGTCCGCTTGATTCGCCGCAAAAACGCTTTTTTGTTGTTTTATTGGGGGCCCAGTTAATTCCCAATTAACGTTGTTTATAGTCGATTTTGCGCTAAATTCCGCGCTTGACAATGTTTTAGTGTGACAATCATCCGAATTTCCCGACAAAATCACGTTGTAAGTATCCCAGTTGGTGGCTTTTGTTTGCTCGATGACAACTGTCAAAACGTCAAATTTGGCGAAAAAGCCCCCATGATCGTCCAAGCGTCCATTCGAGGCACCTAAATTTCATTGTGTCAAAAACCGTTAGTTGTGAACGCTTGGAGAAGCACGAAATTGACTATTTTGAACGTTTTTTTCACGTAGGTGCTCCGGGGGGCTTAGAGCGTTGGATGGGGCTTGCTGTGCCCCAATTTTCTTGCACTGGCTCCCACTTCAACCACCACCATTACCCCGCTAAACCAAGAAGGTGAGTCGGTCATTCTTCCGCCTTGTCGTGACCCCACGTTGCATTATTTCCGCGAAGATGGGCTCAGTAATTGTGGGAAGTTCAACAACCGTTTTGAGTAAAATTCGTTTTGGCGATAAAAATGTTAATTTGAAAACAAAAACATAAAAATAATGATATACAGGATGTTTCATAACTCGTACCTTACCAAGTAAGATAACATCCCAGAAACACAAAAAAAATCTGTCAAAAAATTTTGATATTTATTTTTTGACATTTCACCCATCTATATAGGGTGCGCCAGAACTCGCGCCCACGTGAAAAATGCCATATAAGGTAAGATACCAGGAACATGGAAAAAATGTTAAAAAAAAAATTATCTATAAAAATTTCGAAATTTGAGGGTTTAAAGTTTGCACTTTGACTCTATTTATTTCTGTTGGAAAAATTATTTTTCATGTTTTTTTGCTATAGGCTATTAAAAGAGGTAACAAGGAAGCTGTATCCTAAATTGTAACTCTGTTCAATGTTATTTGTGGCTTTTATTGGCAAAATTTTTGTCCCTTTACTAAATAATTGCAAAAAAACATACAAGATCATCAGTATCATTAAATAGATAGAAAAAAATGTCAAATATCAAAAAATAAAAGTCAAAATTTTCATGTTCCTGATATCTTACCTTACTTGAAAATTTTCTCTGAGGCGCGAGTTCTGGCGCATTCTGTATCTATTTAATGTTTTTTCATAATTATTCAGTAAACGTACAAAACATTGTCAATAAAAGCCATAATTCAGCATACAACTTCTTTGTTTACTCCTCTAATAAAAAAAATGACCTGAACTAAACTGAAGCTAAAGAAAAATTTTCAACTTGCATGAATTTTGAGTTTATCTGAAGTAAATTACACGAATTAATCGCTAATCTTTTTCCTAATTTGTTTTAATGAGATTTTTACGGTCAGAAGTAGTTTTCCACAAAATTTTGACATGGTAATGATCGTTTAAAAACCCAGACTTTACCATTAGCGGAATTGCAGAGCGCTAGACGTATTAAAAATGAAACAAACCGACTGGAGGGAGTTGTATAAGGGTTGAAAATTTACAGCAGGTGTATAAAGTTTGTTCGGTGGGAATTGGGGATGTAAAATTGCACAAGAGTTAAGTGCACATTTCAGGAGAAAAACGAAAATCGTAAAGTTTGTCGGGACTGTAGAAATAAATGTCAGTGTTATTGCTACTGAAAGGGGAAAATCTATAAAGCTTGTGTGCAGGGTTGGAGTGCAATTTTTGTAGTATTATTAATAAATAAGCCTACGACATTTTCTAATTAATTGATATTGATCTTACTTTTTTACCCACGCAACCTATTCTAATTAATTTCTGTCGCAGAAATACTAATGAAGTTGGCAATTTTTTGTTGCCTAACTATTTTAAATAAATTACCGATCAGGTGATGAGCATTGCATGTCTGTTAATTAACAGTTTTTTTGTTGTTAAGTGAACTATATATAATTTTTTGTATGAATCATACTACAGGTTGTTCCAGCCATGACTTTTTAATATTTCTGTTAATACCTGGAAATTCCTGAAATAAAAATAAAAAATGTAGCAACGTTAAGGAAGAAAACACAAACTCAATTAAATCATTTTATACAATTATTGTTTTAATAAAAAAATAGTAATTTGTTTTTTACACATGTAGGTAACTTTGAAAACATGTTTTTCATAATTTGTTACACCGTTTTCTTCATTACTGAAAAAAAATACATTTTTTTTTATTTTATTATTCATCTTCAAAAAATTTGATTCAATCAAAACGTGATTTGTTTAGTTTTAATTAATAAAGTAATCTGTGATCCTAATATTATACAGCATTATTGAAAACTTTTACACACTTAATTTTGGCAACTTAATTTTATCATATTTTTTTAAATTTATTTTAATCAGAAATTTAATTGGAAATTTGATGTGTACAAAATTTTTATTTCAATAGTTTTATTGTAGAGTTACGCCAGAACACACATTTCACAGAAAAAAAGTTGAAAGTTTATTAATAACAAAGAAATACGGAAAATACAACATTTAAATATTTAACAAACAAAACAGTTAATAAAAGGAAACTAGAAATACGGAATTGGTGAAAATTTGCGAAAAAAGTATTATTTCTTACGTTTACCTTGCTTCATTTTTTATTTTTATTTAATACAACAAAATTTAAATATTTCAGGTTTTTTGTTTGTGTAAACCTGTGTTGCCAATTACGCACAAATGATGTTTATGTTTGGGTATTTATCTTTGTAAAAATAAAGAACTTTTATAAAATGTTTTTTGAAAACATCAGACATAGGTTGAAAAAAAACATTACATTAAACCGAATAACGGTTTTCTCCATTACTAGTCAGCAAAAATATGGAATTAATTTATTTCCTAAAAATTAATTTTAATTATTGCTTTAATTCAATTGTTGTAAAATTATTAGCTTATTGTCAAGTAATAATTGCATTTATTACTTATTCCATATTTGCGCAAAGAATTTTTATTTAGTAATAAAAACAAAACTACTAATTAAACTATTATGATTACAATAAAATGTAACTTAGTAATATGTAATATGTAAATTTATGAATTTCGTTTCAGTGCCAACTCGTTTCTTAGAAATTAATTAAATAATGCGCTGTTTATGTATGATTTTTGATAATGAATTATAAAGTTTAGTTTGAAACAGCAACTGTTCTGGTACTTCTGGTTCTTACAGTTTTTTTTTTTTAAACAGATTGTGTTTTTATGGACATCTTCATTCTTCTTGCTTTAGTGTTATGACTTATGACAAATTGTGCGTTTTCATCAATATTATACAATAAAATTTTGACGTCGAGTCGTATTACTCCAGATGAGATTGATTCGCGTTCAGTGTCACTGCCAACAATTTAATGCGATCAATAAATGACGCAATAAACGTGTTTCCCGGAAAATCCGGAATCGTTAGAGAAAAGCCTCTTTCCGGCATAACTCGTTTTTCTATAATTAATAGACGTCGTGAATGGCTGCAGCGGTACCGTTGTTTCTTCTTTCCGACAATTCTTCAACAATTGCCGGTTTTCCACTAATGATATTTTTTTTTGTTTGACTTGTATAGGAGACAATAAAATGTTGGTGCTTTCACTCAAAATCGAGATAATTATAAACGCATTTTATCTTCTTGTGTGAGTTGTGTTTTTGGTGTTCTATTTTCTATTTTTCATCGCTAGAAATACTGAGTAATTAATAATTAGCGTGTGCTCGATTTAATGATATTTTTAAGTTGAATTTCCAGATCATGTCAATGACACACTAATCAAGTTATTTCTTCGCTGGGAATTTTTTATTCGGTTTACCCACAAGATACCGTTAGAGTTACAAGACCCTAGTTTAATAATAATAATTAAATTAAGTCCATTGTTTCAATGTTTTGGGTCGAAATGTTGATTTTCTTGGTTTGGGTTGAAGCACTCATGTGAAATGTTAATTTTCGGTCAAAGTGAAAGTTGGATGCGTAATTATCAACATAATGAGCATTGGATGATTTTTTCATTTAGATTAAATGAAAAGTTGACGTTTTGTAACAATTGAAATTGCACATAAATAAATAAAGGAGTAATAATTATTCACTTAAAATAATGTTTTGTGTTGTTAATTTGCAGAAAGCGATAAAAGCAAATGGTGAAACAATTAAATCAGAATAATGCAAAAATTATGGTATTTTTTATTTAATTACTTACTAATAACAGTAAGTGAAATTTACAGCCGGATATAACAATAAAGGAATTTGTGTTGTAAAAAAAAACAAAAAGTTGAAGCAATTCATTAATTTTGCAAGCATGGGTGCACAAAATAATTCCATTTGATAAAAAATTAGCTGTTTTTTAACAACGATTCGGTTTTAATCGCAGGGTTAATAATATTTTTTTACTGGTTGTTTATGTTCGTTGATTGATTTTTTAATGTAATATTTAATGTTCCGTTCAAAAATGTTTGTTTACAGAATTTTTTCAACATAGAAAAGGGTGGTTTCATTTTATCAAAGCACATTTGTACAAGGTGTAACAAAAAGATGGGAACAAAAAGTAACTTGATATTCCTCATATCAAAATAAAACGATTTAACTCAACTTATCTCTAAACCAAGTTACACCGTTTAAAAGTTAGAGGACATCAGTGAAATTATGATTTTTTTTTGCTTAAATTAATAACAATTACTAAAACCTAATTTTTTTAATACAATTTTAAAAACAATGCAATAAATGGCCAACGTCCAAAATTTGCCACGTCTACTTAAATTATTTTTTTACTCTAAAACGAAGGCCGTTACAAAAATTGTAAAAATAGCTGTTCACCAATTTAAAAGTTGCATAATTTTTATTCGTTTCTCATTTTTCATAATGTTTAACATTGTGAATAATCAATTTTCCCTTAACTTGTTACGTAAAGAAAAAAAATTCCAACCAGTGATTTAATAATCATTAAATTTTGACCTTTGACAATTTCTGTCTTTGATGTATCTGATCGTAAGTACTGAGTAGTATAGTGAATGAAATTACCTCAATTCATGCATTAACTCATTATTTTTTGAAAATCTACACTAATTACTTAAATTAGTTATTTTTCAATTTTATTTAATCTGAATCTCCGGAATGTGACATGTGACAAAGTCGTTGCTACGATCTCTTTATTTATTCAAAGTGAAGCGATAACACGATAATTATTGGCCATGTTCATTTTCGGTGAATATTTCTCTCAGATCGTGTTTGTTGTTGAAAAGTGTTCGTTCGAAAACCACAAATCAAAAGGAAACTGAAGAATAATTCGATAAAACGTCGTTTTGGTTTCCTTGTTCGATACCGATTTGGGTCAAAGTCGTCGAAACTGCTGTTACCATCTAGATAAGAAGAAATACTCTCGTTGGAACGTGAAAAAAGAGTTTTCTTGCAAGTGTGTCACGAGTTGGGTAAGTGTAGACAAAACAGTTAGGACGTGCCGCATTTA